TTTGCTGGGAAAAGGTCCACTCTGGGTAAAATTTGACCTATGTACTTGAGGATTTTATGGTAAAAGGTCCACTTTTCAGAAAACGAACCCCCCTCTGAAGTTGCTGGATACGGGCCTGGCATGTTAAGCAGTGCTAGAAAGTCGAATGTCAAGGATTATTTTCAATACAATACTCGGTTTTTAATTCTAACCAGATAAGCGTAAAAAGCTATGCATAAATAGTATCCGATAAATGCGTCGAATGGGAATGCACATTTAGTTTGTTTTGGCGCTGTCACATGCAGGAATACTATAAGGGTGTATATATACTACGATTTCACCAGGTTCTGACAATATTCTGCTGTATCATTTAAGCAGCTGTAAATATAATTTCACGAACATAATCGTATAACCGTTGTATCCACATATGCAACAGACGGTAAAGCACTCTGTCAGGAATATAGCATTTCATTCACCACAGATTTTTAAAATCGACTAGACGATACGGGCAAACTCCATGTTCTCATATTGGATAAAGCTCTTAAAAAAAGGGGAAAAAAAGCCAAGTGACGGAATTGTTTTTGAGAATGAAACTTCCGTTCAACGCCAGTGGCGGATTTAGTGGGAGGGGTCAGAGGTGTCCTGCCACCTCCCCCCTCTTCGATATCTGAAAAAAAACTCATACACGCACCAATGATCCCCTTTTGAAATTAGAATTTTAACTAGATTAATACTTCTAAACCGTACCAAATGGCAACGTTCAACCTCTAAAATCCCCCCAAAAAACTTGTGGGGCCTTTCAATGGGTCGGGTTCGCTTCCGCAGACCCTCCTCCTCTTAAAAAAATCCCTGACCGGCCCCTGACCACCTATCATATTTGCATACGACAAGGTAACAGAAGCGATGTTTTTAATCGCTGTTTTCCTCAGCGTGTTTATATTGAGCGGTGAAAGTAGTGACACGGACAGACACAATATGTTGATTGATATGTGACCAGGTAGACCGCTTTTGTTAGACCCCATTCCCAGAGATTAGATCGATCCAAACTAGATCGACCTAACTCCCTGGGGGTTCACGCTAAATGGCTGTCAGCCGAGCGGGCACCATAGTTAATTACCCCATTACAGCTTGTAGTAGACGGGACGGACATTTAAGCCAGATTATCTGACAGTAATTTAGTGGGACTCCCCACGGGGATAGATCGATCTAACATCTATGGGAATACGCCCTTAGTGTTAACCGAAATGAGAATTAATAGGAAATTTACTTAAAATAATTGGCCATAAGAGGAAATGTAAATCTGTCATTGATTGTCGCGAGCATAAAACTTTGACGTGCCAAAACTATAATGTTAATACGTCAGGGATAAAATAATTTTGTGGGGTCGCAGACGGGCCAAACTGGACAAAGATTAAAATGTGAATTAAAAAAAAAAATAATAATAAAAAAAAACTTATGTGCTTAAGAGTTGATCCATTGATCGTGTCAAATATGTTACGTAATAGTCAGGTTTTGAAGGAATAATACCTGTTCATTTTCTTTTTTTTTTTAATTAAAAATTTCCCCAAACTTACCAACGGTTAATGAATCCTCTCTGGCATTCAAAGTTAGCCCCAGTTTATTTATTTATTTATTTATTTATTTATTTATTTATTCATTTTTTTCTAAGAAGTTCTTTTTTTTATGTTATGTTCTCTTGAGAGATTATTACATAGGGTAGTGATCTGTGGAGGTCACGTGGTCCGACGGCAACCACAGATTCCAGAATAATTGCGATAACCGCCGTTTTGATGGTAAACTAAAATGTATTATATTTCTATGAATTGATTATAATATATTTAGTGTAAAATTTGGATCCCATACGAAGCGTTGTTATCCTTTTAAGTTACCAATCTCACAATGTATACAGGTACAGACAAGCATACCGTTCGATGTGAAAAGATCTTTTTAGGCTACGGTCTTCAAGTAAATAGAGGTTTCACGAGCAGGTTAATGACTCGTTACACGCACTTGGTCACTTATCTCTCTCAACTTAATTACATACCCCCGAAGACATTACCTCTCACAAGTCGATGAAGTCGAGCAAAAGTGATACATCGTGGCTCTGGAATGAGTAAATATCCAAGCCAATGTCTCTTTCACAATACGTTAATATGTAGTTCTGAAGTGAACACATAGAACAATCGCAAACTGTCAGCTTTAATGAGTTTTATGTTTACAGATGCGTGTTTATTGTCCAGTTTAGCGAATTGGAAGCGTGTGAGCGATGAGCTTTTTGTCGACCGATTCGTGTTCACCGCGTTGCTGCTTAAGATAATCGAGGTGTTTAGATTACATGTGTGGTGCGGTAAATTATATTTCAGGGCATGGCATTAATGAATACATATACCAGCTTAAGCACATATTCATCCATTCAAACAGATTGAACGGAAGGAAAGCATTTTAAGAATGATTGACACTGTGCATTTGCATTGATACAATTATTTTGATTTTTTTTCTGATAAATACATGTCTGTCTGTTTAACGTCCCGTGCCTTGGTACACTGATTCTGCTAATGGCGGTAAAATTAATCACTGGTAACTTGCACTGTAGACTTCTTTCCGTTTTAAGATTACGATATTATTTTTACATTTGTTATATTATTATCATTATTGTATTATATATAGCACTATTATATTTGTTTTCATTTGTAGTGTATGTCTTTAATTATTTCTAAAATACTACAAATCATTTGTCCCATCTGTGAGACTTATGGGTGCTTCATGTAAGTTTTACTATAAGATATGAGTAGCATAATGTCACAACTTTTTTTCCGTCTCATTGCAGGTATTCGTCCATTACCGTTACATTAACAGCCTCAGTCCTGTTTCTTCTCGCCATTGCTGTCGACCGCCACGTGTCAATCGTACACCCACTACGCTACCACGTGCTCATGACGCAATCAAGAGCCCGGATAATCGTCACCGCAGTGTGGCTCTCGTCTATCGGGTTTGCCTTCGTTATCCCAATGGTTTGGCATAATTCCTGGGAAGACATTCCAGACAGGGACTGTGACTTTGGAAAAGTCATGCCATGGGTTTATTTAGCGTGGTTGGTGCCTTTATTTATCATAAACACCCTTGCCATTCTTGGGCTCTACGGTAGGATATTTTACATAGCTCACGAGCGAGCGCATCGGATTCAAAGGTACAATACACAACCGAGATTGGCATTTACTACGAACTTAAAGATAGCGAAAACAGCAGCCATCGTGTTAGGACTCTTTATGCTATGCTGGTATCCGTTCTATTTGATAACGGCCATTCAGGTGTACGGTGGGTTGATATACTCCGAGACTTGGGAAGAATGGCGCAGTTACGCCACTATCTTAGCTATAGCGAACTCGGCACAGAACCCGGTGGTTTACGCATTCAGAATGAAAGCGTTTAGAAACGAATTCAAGAAACTGCTTCGTATAAAGCCTTCACAGAAACCAAACGTCGATTTGGAACGTTCTGTCACTACTCAGGTTGGGGATGGGAATGGCAGGGATGCCAGAAGTGCGTTAGACAATGGTGCCAGTCACAGCGAAGCAGCGTAACACAATACAGCCATGTTGAGAAGGATATTCACCTCATATGTGCATGGTATGAGTAAGTGAATCCGCCACGCATATAAGGTGTAACCCTGTCACAGCTACGCCTCCAGAAACGCCGCATCTTGTCATTCTGACAAATGAGGACAGGGACGATAATAGACGAGAACATACGAGAATAGAACACTCGCAATGCAGCCACATTGTGAAGGATTTTCGCCCCATATGTGCATGGGATGAGTAGGTGAATCCGCCACACATATAAGGGGTTAATGCGATCACAGCTTCACCTCCAGAATCGCCGTATCCTGCCATTCTGAGAAATTAAGGACAGGCACGACATAAAACGAGAACAGGCGAGAATAAAACACTCAAGGCTATCTCGGTCACGGTGCTAATATTACCTGTTCAAATTTCCATTGGATACATGCATTCTTGAGCAGTGCANGTGTGACACCATCTTGCATTCTACCCTCAGTAGTGGGTGACTCTTGTGTGACTTCATCTTGTATTCTACCCTCAGTAGTTGGTGACTCTTGTGTGACTTCATCTTGCATTCTACCCTCAGTAGTTGGTGACTCTTGTGTGACTTCATCTTGCATTCTACCCTTAGTAGTTGGTGACTCTTGTGTGACTTCATCTTGCATTCTACCCTCAGTAGTGGGTGACTCTTGTGTGACACCATCTTGCATTCTACCCTCGGTAGTGGGTGATATTTGGGTGACTTCCTCTTGTATTCTACCCTCAGTAGTGGGTGACTCTTGTGTGACTCCATCTTGCATTATCCCATCAGTAGATTGGCCATGGTCTTGAATAAAGAAATGCATGACAGTTGTTGGCTGAAGAAATATCAGCGCGCATAAAGTGAGTTGGATGACCCTCATGTTTCTGAATATGGTATGTCTGTCTGACAGAAGCACATACTGTAAAAGTGACACAGATTGCAGTTTGACAACCTTTTATACAGCTCATGCCCTTGTTGGTAGAGTTTATTCCAAAGCCACCGAGTCAAAACGCCAGCAATGTTACAGTATTAATTCTTTCTAAGAACACATTACAACATAAGGCATTCAAACTGTAAATGCAGAGGATTAGATACTTAGGGTCTTGTTACTATACAATAATCTGTTTGTTAATCAATTTGTCGCCTTCTTCCATGTAGACAAGATGAAAATGATAACTTAAGGTTGCTATCATATCACTGATTACCCAGTGTGGCTTTCTCCACGGCATGCTATGACAGGAGAAAGAGAAAAATATTTATCTATTGAAGAAGACTCTCTTCAACAGCCTATGTCTCCATTTGATAAACTGGTGTGTGATGCATGGTTAATTGAGGTTAAATACAAATAAGTCAATAACAAAAAAAAAAAAAAAAAAAAAAAATCTATGACTGTAATGTACAAAATCGGGTATCTTATTAAGTCTTTATCTTTAAGCGTTTTTTTGTTATTTAGGTTTATTTTAATATTTATTGCAGCATTTGGTACATTGGGGGCACAGGGAATTCAGTATCAAGTTTTTGATGAATAATACGAGCTATTGTATTGTTTTAAGTGGAGAAATATATACTAGCAGTTACAAAACAACATATTGATATTAAAATTATCTTATACCTACAGTAATTGTACAAGATGAACCATTAAAAGTGGAGGGTCATGTCAAACAACAAGAGAAAAATCTAACAGAAAATACCATGGACTCCCTCCTTTAATTTTAGGAACTTTTACTTGCAACGAAAAATTCTCATAATATTATGCACTTTATAATCTGAAATCTACGTCTCACTGATAAATAAAAAATTGGCAAAGGAAATGAATTTACAGCCAAAAGTTAGGCCTATAGATTAAATTTCATACAACTTAAATCTAATTCAAATTCTACATGAAAAATATTAAAGAGGAAATATGTGACAGGTACTCTTACATAAACCATGGGACTTTGTTTATTCAAATACAAGAAGACTAACAGAAGTTGTTAATCAAGTTTACAGTATGGACTTTTTTGTTTCAGAAATCTTCACAACAGCAAAGGGAAAACTAAAAGAGGAAATTGTGAACTGGGGTTACCAACCTTGCAAGGAAGATTATTACAAAGTTCTGTGTAGTGCTGATGTTGCCGTATCCACAGCAATCCATGAGTTCTTTGGTGTTGCCATGTAAGCTTAACCAGAAAAGCACCCAGAGACTCTGTCATGGTGGTTCAGTTCTCATTAATTAATAAGTTAATTAAGTAGTTAATTAATTGGTCGATCAATCAATAATTCAATCAATTGATCACCACCAATCAAAATTAAGTTTGAAGCCTTCTGCCCTTTCCTGAAAATTTTATCAAAATCTCTCTGTAACCTTTTCAAGTTAGGCTGTTGATGAACAAACCAAATCTCACAGAAGCAAAAACATAACTTCCTTGTCGGGTAAGGAGGTACCTGTATGTCCACAGAAAATTGAACAGCCAGGAGACTTGGAAAAAAAGATTAAAATCATTCAGTTTCTTTTAAATCAATTAATTTCTTAAAATAAAAAATCATGGTTTTATGTATAATGTTAATTTTCATGCCATTTTAAGTCTATGGAACATTTTATGGATTTTAGACTCGTACCTTAGCATCATTATATGACATTTTTTTTATTTTTACTAACTGATATTATGCAAGATGGTCACTTCACTATAATATGTACTGCTTTCAGAATAATATAAATAGCAATAAACGGTGTTTTATTGTATTTTTAAATCCACAGATCAGCTTTTTTTTTTACAAATGCTGCAAATTTTTATATATTATTACTATGTCATTATTTAACTTCTTCTTATATATATTCTAGGCTGGAGGCAGTCCACTGTGGCTGCTACCCACTAGTCCCCAGCAGGCTGGTCTACCCAGAGATATTCCCAAAGACATACCTGTACAACACACCTGCCCAGCTGGCCAAGAAACTGAGGAATTTTTGCAAGTTTCCCCATCTCGTTAGGCTCCATACTCTGGAGGTGAACCCTGTAGACTATTCTTGGGACAGGCTGAAAGGAGGATATAGGGAGCTTCTGCACGCGGAGTGAACACGGAGGCATTATTGTGTATTAAGGCCTTGTTTACACTGAGGGGTACAGGGGCGGATGGAGGTAGTCTTCTGAGTCCTCCAGAATACGGGCATAATTTTTCAAGTTTACATTGAGGGGCATTTAATTTTTTCTGCCAGAAGACTGTCGAAAATGGAGGATGGATCAACAAAGATATTTTGAAAGAATGTTAGAAAATATATCTGGATCTACCCCTGGGGTACTCTTTCCTGCATTGATCCATTTAAAAGGTTCTGTCAAATAATTAATTTCCTGGGCAGGGATCTCCCTTTTACAAGTTCGTTTACAATAATCCCAATATACCAATGTAACTTAGGGACTGTTCCCACAGATATATGGATCGATCAATCTCCACGGGGATTCTCACTAAATTGCTATCTGCTATCAGCGAGGCCGAGGTTGCAAGGAAGTTAATTACCCCCCCCCCCCCCAGCCTGANCAGAATACGGGCATAATTTTTCAAGTTTACATTGAGGGGCATTTAATTTTTTCTGCCAGAAGACTGTCGAAAATGGAGGATGGATCAACAAAGATATTTTGAAAGAATGTTAGAAAATATATCTGGATCTACCCCTGGGGTACTCTTTCCTGCATTGATCCATTTAAAAGGTTCTGTCAAATAATTAATTTCCTGGGCAGGGATCTCCCTTTTACAAGTTCGTTTACAATAATCCCAATATACCAATGTAACTTAGGGACTGTTCCCACAGATATATGGATCGATCAATCTCCACGGGGATTCTCACTAAATTGCTATCTGCTATCAGCGAGGCCGAGGTTGCAAGGAAGTTAATTACCCCCCCCCCCCCCCCCAGCTGATTCGGTACTTTCAGTGGGAATGAGCCCAAAGGAGCTTTTCACATCAAACGATCCAGTTTTCTTTATCGCACCATGTTGAGAGATCCAAAAGTCAATGACCTGCCCTTAGAAATGTCCAGACACCCCTCCCACCATCACCACCATGCAGAAAGTTCTTATTTTAATATGTATTTATTACATGCTGTATTACAAATAATATTAATAAAATCGAGATTACTGCCAAACTCTGCATCTGTGGCTTTATGTTATCGCCCTAAAATAAATGCAGAATAATCCAAAGTCATGAACATTCGAGCAAGTGATTTTTAAATATAAGGACAATGTATCTCAGTGTGTTGTTTCTACCTTCCCTCTGATTTCACTGGGGCCTCTAAATAGTACAATATTTTTGTAACAGACTACCAGAGAATGGTTTCTTTCCAGTTAAACACACAGCCATGTGCCCTTCAAATTATGTGTTGCCAAAAGGGGTACGTCTCAGATCGGTGTCCTAATGATTACTACTAGTATTTCCTACTGATAACCTGACAAATTAATAAACGCTTCAATATACATATTTATCTTAAACAAGATTCTAAAGTTATTATTTGAAGTTCAAAACACGCGTTTGAGAGATATGATAACTTAGAGGGTGTAATTTTGATGACGTTTTTCTTTCCATTTTTTTTTTTTTTTTTTTTGAGAAAATTCTTGCAACTAAATGTTAGATTGTACATGCACTATACAAGAGTAATAAAAGTAACGAAACACATGGCATTATCCACTAAGAGCATAACAGAAGAATTCATTGATAAATATATGAAATAAATTTCTTTAAAATAGTTCAATGTATTTATGAAAATTATTAAAAACATGCTGAAAATAATAACATACCGTCAACTTGTTTTAAACAAGTGCCATATATGATTCAACTACCAAGCTTATCAACATATTTGCTCTTTTAGTTCTTTGTATTTAGGTTTATTGGTTAAAATGTTTGACCGCCCATAGGAGAATAATCTTTGCTGGTTTACAGTTTATAGAGTTTTGGAATATAAAAGTTCTGAAAGTGTCTTAGGGTATATCTTTGAATGTTCTTGTCAGTTATGTCAATTAGTGATTCAGTTTATATCCTTCCCTACACAGGCCTACCCAACTACCAGACACGGCACCGAATGATCCTGAATTCACCAGTAGATCAGACCACACTACCCGTTTTGAAGGTGTGTGTCAGATCGCATTACACAGTATCAGACGCGACACCGCTCTTGCCTAGTACGCGATGTGATAGTGACGATTCTCAGCGGGGTTGAAAAGCATTGCATCACCACTCAAAATTTGTTCAGGGTATGATACTGTGTAATGGTTACAGCTCCTTGCATGCATATACTTTCAAACAATTAAAGACACAGATCATCGCGCCAGCTTTGTAAATAAACAGAATTTGTCATTAGTAAGCATCTGTGTAGAGATTTCTTGCTATAGTACCTTTCTAGAAGGATTCAATTTTTTTTTTCGGTTTGGCTCTTGGTCGTGCCACACTTACACAGCATATTCAAGGGCACAAAGTGAGTCTTTCAACAGACATGTATAGTCTCGGTAACATATGAGGAGAGAAACCCACTGTCTCTAAAATTCCTATGAAATGTATTCTTTGGCTAGCTTTTGAGCAACTGTGATTGAGATTAGTTTCCCCAATTCAAACAATAGCTTTAGTAAGACCCAAGAATACGGCGGAATTCAATCTTTTTTCCCTCGATTGCTGTTAGTTGGAGTTCATGACCGGAATCTGAGAAATCGAACCTTACCTCGATCCTTTGCTTTCTTGGAATTTGTGGACATTGTTTTCTTGTCACCAGATGAAGGTTTCTGTTGATGCAGCCTGTAATTGTTCCGGAGAGTTATTAGTGGCAAACCTGCAAAGTTCTTAGCGTCATCAGGGTCTTGTCTAATTAACTACCATAATCGGCCACAAATGACCTCAATCAGTAACGACCTCGAGCAAAAGTTAAGGTTGGGAAATCAGTTTTAACTTTTAAAATTCCAGTTTTAAAATTCCATCTTACGTCAAAAATATATGTATTAAAATATATATATATATATATATATATATATATATATATATATTTTATATAAGATGGGATTTTATGTTGGAAACAGCATATAGTGTACTATTATGTACTAAACGATAACAGAGATTGTGGTTGTGTCCGCAAGCGACGAGGAGCGTCCGCAGACGACGACTAGCGCCCACAAGAACTAGCCAGCAGATCTTGAGTCCTCTTGGTTTTCAAATAGGTCTGTTATTGTATGCAACTTATGATAAAAGTGGCTTTAATTCACACCTTTAATTGTTTGATATAACGAACCCGTTGTCGTTGAACATGTAAAATAGTTTTCTGGTTCTTCGCTCTGCCACCAGGGGAGCATTCATGCTTGAACCGTGCAAGAAATTGAGAGAACAAAGGGAGCTCCAGCAATCCTCTATTGATTACAATAATATATTGATCCAGTATACAAGGCGCTATTACATTTCTATCAAAACAGACATCAATACCCGTGGTTTTCTTTTCGTCGCCAGTATGCTATTTCAGTCAAGATACCAGTTCAACAAAAACAAAAATAATCTGTTATCAGATTTAGTCCAAGTTAATGCGTTGGAAAAAACTCAGTGCAAACTCAGTACATATAAGATGCGACGGGACTGATAATCCAACCTAGGATCCAAAATAAAGAGGATAAGAAAGCGGCAAATCGCCTTTGAACCATGATACCTTCGGGTAAACATTCCCCTATTGTCTAGTTAAGCTGTTTTGATAGCTTAGACAGCGTGTGGTCAGGCTAGCGTGACGAAGCGTGCACAGGCAGTTATCGCACATTACCGTATATTCTCGCGGTTGCTACGTTCCCGTCCGCCATGTTGGTTGTAAGTTTCAAAACGCGGTTGATTTCGTGAAATGTTTTAACGTTAAATATTGCAGGAAGTATTAAAAAATGGGTCTGTATACCATAACGTTCTTTTTTGATATTGTGTTTAACAAAAAATAAAGTTGTCACTGGAATATTATGAAGAACAGCATGCTTTCAGACAAGAAGAAAAAAGGGCTATAACAGGTAATTGTAACACGCAGACATGAAATAGATGACAATGTGCATTGGTTTTGCCAGTCGTTCCGGCGATTTTTGAATTATCTATGCGACATGAAGTGTTCACTTCGTATCATGTTACATTATTGTACGTAAAATATGTTTTTGTTAGAAGATTCCAAGAAGGACAATAACAGCAAATTGTCGGCGAAGGCCAAGCTCGGAGTGTCGCTGTGACAAACAAACTTTAGATAATTAACAGAACGTACTTAATAGATCATAACATACAGATAAGCTATTTCACCAATGATGTTCAACAATGCTGGTGACTTAAAAATTGGAAATTATTTAGGGCGTGTTAAGTAGATGATTTGTTAGTAAATAGTTACTGCATCTTGTAAAGGAAATTCTTTAGCACTCTTTTTACACTCAACTCAGATTTCTTGTGTAATTTGATAGATTGAATAGACATTGGGTTTGTTGCATTTTTCTGTTGCGTTGTACTGTCATTTAACTGTCTAAGAGATCCAAATTTCACAATGAATGCATTGATCATAGAAATAAAATAAATGCTATTATACCACAACAACAGCGGTTAATCAAATTATTCTGAAATCTATGCTTGCCATCACTTTGTGTGTTCTCCATAGATGTCTGCACTCTGTAATAATCTCTTAAGAAAATACTACAAAAAGAAAACTTTTAGAAAAAAAATCAGGGACTAACTTTGAATGTCAGAATGAATTCACAAACCATTGGTTAGCACGGGTTAATTGTCCTTTACCCCAGGAAAAGCCATTTTTTGGCCAAAATGAACAGTTAATATCCCTTGAAAGTTCTCTCTCCCCCTAAACACTAAGTGAAAAAAATCCAGATGTACAGTTCAAATAAGTTTATTAAACGAATTCACTTGTTCATGCAATTCATCACTGTAATTTCCCAATAAGATGCAGCCTGTTAAATGTAACCTGTACACATTTACTTATCTAAGTTTATCAACAAATTGAAACCCCAAAAAACTTCAAAACATTTCATTTATGATCAACAAAATTGTCACCACAACACCATTTATCTATTAATCATGGCTTATAGAGTTAAAAAAAAGAACACTGATGCTAACTATTAAGTCCCAGCTGGTGACACATGGGCTGATGTATGAATAACTAATACTAATACTAATAAAGTTACCTATCATTCTACAACATTCTATAATAATTGGTATCCCCCATTGAAAAGTGCTAGATGATCTTTCTTCTTTTGGCTAGAGGTGTACTGTCAATTTCTCTTTGTGGTTGTGCCTGGCGGGAATTTCCTCGAAATGATGCCATGGCAAATGATTTCTGTATTCTAATTGCTGACGTGTTGTGGTGGAACGATGATACGTTTGGATTTTCATTGGCACCACCCGCATTTCTCTGCATGGAAAGTACTGCTCCAAGGGGTCCTGATTGAAATGGTCTGCTAGCACAAAAGCAACTCCTTTGCTCAGTAAAAAACGGCAGGATTCTATAAAAGACAAGACTGTTAATTCACCTGAGGTGAGGAAACATCTATAACTTAATCTTAATTAATTAAACATCTAAAATGAAATATTTCAATGATTGAATAAGATGGAAGTTCACTTAGATATGGAGCACCTTAAGAATTAAAATTTCATGTTGTAGGGAATAAGGTAGATCAAAATGAAGCAATTCATTGTAAAAGATTCTCACCATTTGACTGTTGAGTATCTGAGTTGTCAGAAGAAACATCCTTCAGGCTGCTTAAAGACATGTCATCCTCAGGTTCACTAGATTGTTGACTTGACACGACACATTCTGCATAAGAAAGAAACATTTAGAACTCCAGTTTTAATAATAATCATAAATAACTTAATGTTACAGGCATCTAAGATGATAATAATAATATACACCACATTCACAGCATTCCAAAATTAAAGACTCTGGTTGCAAGCTGGCAGATTAAATAAGAATATAACAGCAACATTTTGTTTCATTTATAAAATTCACCTGGTTATTTGTATAATACACAATGCAAAAACCTTTACCACTGTTGTCATTTGTCCCTGGATACGTAGTTGTGTCTTTGGAAATCTTTGCTGATTTACCATATTTCTTGGCCTGGGCATTCTTAACCTTCTTGCCTATCTTCTTTCTCTTTTTAATTGGCATCTGAGGAAAGAAATATGTATTACTATGTACCCGACCAGTCAGTGTTATACTAACTCTGGACCACATTGTTAAAAAATAAATAACATATATGTTTTTATGAAGAAAAAGGTCATGTTTTTTACCATTCAGCCAGGTTGACATTAGAGTGATTAGGCAATTTAAGTCCTTGATATCTCTGGAATAAAAACTCTAATCCACTAATATCCATCGTAACGTCTTTTGTCCCAAAACATACAATATAGATGCAGGTTTAAAATGAGACATATCAGTTATATTTGTGTGCATTTGTATCTAAAAGAAGGGGTCCGCGGCGTTACATCGTTCGGCCATGTTGAATTTAGAGTGATTAGGCAATTTAAGTCCTTGATATCTCTGGAATAAAAACTCTAATCCACTAATATCCATCGTAACGTCTTTTGTCCCAAAACATACAATATAGATGCAGGTTTAAAATGAGACATATCAGTTATATTTGTGTGCATTTGTATCTAAAAGAAGGGGTCCGCGGCGTTACATCGTTCGGCCATGTTGAATTTAGAGTGATTAGGCAATTTAAGTCCTTGATATCTCTGGAATAAAAACTCTAATCCACTAATATCCATCGTAACGTCTTTTGTCCCAAAACATACAATATAGATGCAGGTTTAAAATGAGACATATCAGTTATATTTGTGTGCATTTGTATCTAAAAGAAGGGGTCCGCGGCGTTACATCGTTCGGCCATGTTGAATTTAGAGTGATTAGGCAATTTAAGTCCTTGATATCTCTGGAATAAAAACTCTAATCCACTAATATCCATCGTAACGTCTTTTGTCCCAAAACATACAATATAGATGCAGGTTTAAAATGAGACATATCAGTTATATTTGTGTGCATTTGTATCTAAAAGAAGGGGTCCGCGGCGTTACATCGTTCGGCCATGTTGAATTTAGAGTGATTAGGCAATTTAAGTCCTTGATATCTCTGGAATAAAAACTCTAATCCACTAATATCCATCGTAACGTCTTTTGTTATAAAACGTACAATATAGATGTGGGTTTAAAATTAGCAAGCCAGTCCCATGTAAAGTTTTTTTGTATAGGTAAACTACCTCCCAGAACTATCGCTCCGCCATTATTGGCGTTGGGGGCACTATTTCTACGCTCTTTTTACAATCCAACTTATTTCGTTTCCCACATTACAAGGTGTTGCCATATCAAAACTGTACTCCGAATAACTCTGCATTGACAAATATTCGGAAAGTGCATCCGCCAAATAACAACGAGAGCGTAAACATGCACGGCAGTGTAAATTTGCCCGCCATCTTTGCAAATCTAACGGACGGGGATATTGAAATTGATATTACTGTCTATTGAAGCTACAAACTGCAATATAAATACTCACGGTACTTCACTGCATATTCCTTAATCAGCTCCTCTAGTCTTTTGACGAAATTCTCCGGATACAATGAAAAAAACGCGACTAAAGCGGGACCTTCGTTTCACTCTGCCGTAGACAAGCTACCTGGTCATTTGAAAACGGGGCTCGCCGTACCAACCCGAAGGCATCATGAGACGCGCGCCGCGGGAGACTCCCTTTGAAGTTTGAGCCACTGTCTTATCCTCTTTATTTTGGATCCTAGATCCAACTAAACAAATTCATCCATAGGGATTTTAAGAATATTACCCTTCGATCAAAACTCCTTATTTACTTATTTACTGTCTCACATACCAATTTTTGTGATAAAATCTTATTCAGGGATGAAGTTACGCGCCATACCGATTGCTACCTCACCACATTGTAGAAAGGTGTTAAATTGATGATTAAAGCTTTCAGTTGCCTATGCTTATACATTGCAACGCGTATCAGCGAACGTAACATTTGGATAATTTTCAAGTAACCCTTTCGTTTCAAAGTATTGGTTATTTCTAGCTGAAATCAATTTCCCAATATATGAGAATGAAAATATGGCCAGTGTATGAGATTGTTTTTGAACATGCTCAAACGGGTCCCCCCCCCCCCGCCCCGGCCCCCCGCGTGCACATGTATGCAAACGTACACCAACGTTTGCCTGCGTACTCGAGACTTATTAGCCGTAATCTAAGGAACCCCTTGCGTTTGTCTGCGTTATGGGTAATTGTCCTCATACGTAAGAGCTACCTGCTATATAGTGCGGCAGTGCCATTACTGAAGTGCACTGATTGGACTTGAAAACAAATCAACGCTCAGCTGCCTCTTGTATCATTAAGACCAATGGAAGGCACAAGCTTTTTTATTTCTTGACAAGGCTTTTGCTGTTTAAGTAAGAAAGAAAATCATATGATTTTTCCCTTTATTATTATTATTAGTAGTATTGCAATAACGTTGGTGAATTTATAGGTAAAATCACATCTTGTCTTCGCTAACACAATCCATCGCTACTGGATTCATTCCATTCATTCTACCTTCTCGTTACTGGGGTAAATTAACTGATTTTTCACAAGATATTCACAGACGTGTCTTGGACTCACTTTTTCTCTTTTCTCTACTGTGGCCAACGAGAATCTTTGAGAGAATTTGCCTTCTGCAGAGGGCGCCATTGACATACTAGTACATATTCAGATTGATAAACCTGGTCACTTTACATCAAGTACCTGACTACTACGTTGGACATTGAGATAAATCGCGTCCGTTCTTCTCTGATTAAATCCCGCCCCAGTAAAATTATTGGATTCATTCATATGAACAATGACAAGTCACTCCCATGAAGATTATTTAAGCTAATGAGCACAGGCGTTAAACTCGGAGATATAGAATAATCTATTGTTGTTAATTTATAAGAATGTATGCGGTTTGGGTATGTCGTTGACCGACCTAAAACATGTTTCTAAAACGATTAATCGCCGATGTTTTGTGCCATAAAAGAAATAAAAGCACGTGGCAGACACATGATACTACAATAGCATAAATACCGGTAGGTAACGACTCAACCCGTGTAACAGCGGAGTGCATATAACAGAGCAGAATAGGACATTCACACTGATTTAATAGAATTGCCTGTTAGCAGACTTCGCCTTAACTTTTGCTAAGAGAGGGGAGTCCGTAGTTTTTGAAAACGGAATTTTCTTCAACTTTCGACTTTTGCCAAATCAATATCTATCGCACGTGGTTTTCAACCGCTAAACCGTCATAGTCATACTGGTCACGTGAGCATCTTCTCCCTCACAGTAAGCCTCAAGGCCATCACTAGTTTCACTCTGTGGAAAAATGAGCATGGTGATCACTTGTAGTTCGTCATTGGCTAAGAGTTCCACGGATGACCAGTCAAGAAACATATGCAGTTTAAGTGAGCCCGCCTGCAGGGTGACGTTTGCATTGTAGAAAACTCCCATTCCTTTACCGTGAACAATATGGCCACTCATTGACCTATTTATAAATATTTCCTGATTTACATGGTCGTATCCAACAACCGTGTGTTCCGTTTCACCAGCCATGAGCTTGAAGGTTATACGGCACTTCCGGTGTAACATGAAAATCTGACTCCCATGAAAATCTGACTCCCCCCATGAAAATTTGACTCCCCCTCCACAAAACTTTTTAAATTTTATTTTATTTTGAGTATATGACTGTTATCTTGTAGTATGTAAAATGGAGGATACATTGGCACTTTTTTGTAGTTTGCAGGTGAAAATGTTCATGAAAAGATAAGAAAATTAAAAATGTGCACATAATGAAAATCTGGTTCCCCCGTGAAAATTTGACTCCCCCTCCACAAAACTTCATAAATCTTATTTTATTTTGAGTATATGACTGTGATCTTGTAGTATGTAAAATGGAGGATACATTGGCACTTTTTTTGTAGTTTGCAGGTGAAAATTTTCATGAAAAAATAAGAAAATTAAAAATGTGCACTTAACCGCCCATTGTCTCCCCTATGAAAAAGCTATCTATTTAATATTTGATGATCATTTCAACACCTTTCCTTAACTTTTACTATATGAAGATTATATTGGAAATATTTGAAAGTTTGATGGTAAAATATTGGGTGAAAAAGCATATTTGAATATTCTTTTTCATTTAATTTTCACCCAGTATTTTACCATAAAACTTTTAAATATTTCCAATATATTTTTTCATAAAGTATCCTAAAAGAAAAGCTGTCAGAATGATCATCAAATATCAAATAAATAGCTGTTTCATAGGGGAGTCATTGGGTGTTAGATTACAAATCCTTATTTTTTCTTATTTTCATGTGTTTTATTATTTTTTTTTCACTCAATTTTTTAACCATCAAACTTTCAAGTACTTGCAATAAATTCTTAGTAAAGTATCCTCAAAGAAAAGCTGCCAGAATGATAATGTAATATCGAATAAATAGCTTTTTCATAGGGGAGTCATTGGGTGTTAGAATATAAATCTTTAATTTTTATTTTTTAATGTGTTTTTTTCACCCAATTTTTTACCATCAAACTTTCAAGAACTTGCAATATAATTTTCATAAAGTATCCTAAAGGGAAAGATGTTGAAATGGTCATCAAATGTCAAATAAATAAATAGCTTTTTCATAGGGGAGTCCTGTGTATGGTAAAATACAAATCTTTAATTTTTTTTCATGAAACTTTTCACCTTCAAAGTAACAAAAAGTGCCAATGTCTCCTCCATTATGCATACTACAAGATCATAGTCATTTACTCAAATAAAATGAGATCACAGTCACATACTCAAAATAAAATAAGATTTGTGAAGTTTTGTGGAGCGGGAGTCAAATTTTCATGGGGGAGTCAGATTTTCATTATGTGCACATTTTTAATTTTCTTATTTTTTCATGAAAATTTTCACCTGCAAACTACAAAAAAGGTGCCAATGTATCCTCCCTTTTACATACAAGATCATAGTCATTTACTCTAAATAAAATAAGATTTATGAAGTTTTGTGGAGGAGGAGTCAAATTTTCACGGGGGAACCAGATTTTCATTATGTGCACATTTTTAATTTTCTTATTTTTTCATGAAAATTTTCACCTGCAAACTACAAAAAAGTGCAAATGTATCCTCCATTATGCATACTACAAGATCATAGTCATTTACTCAAAAAAATGAGATTAATGAATGTTTTTTTTGGTGGGAGTCAAAATTTCATAGGGGGAGTCACATTTCCATTATGAAAAACTGACTGGGGAGTCACATTTTAGGGGAGTCAGATTTGCATGGTACACCAGCCTTCCTTGTTTAATAAGTTTGAACAAGAAGTTATAAAGAGAAGTCTTCTCATTATAACTTATTGGTTTGAAGCAAGATTTGCATATAAGAGAAAAATGAGTTTATTTTTCAATTTTGGATCATTTGAAAATTTTAAAATAAATTTTAGAAATAAATCTGTTCATTTACCTTTAATTTGATGTGTTATTTTTCATATCAGGGTGAAATTTTACTGCCTGGGGCCAGTTTTACATGCCCTCCCCCCCTGCTGCATTTTAGTGCTTATTTTGGCCGACTGGCGGCAGCACCCTACGGGTCATGTCATGTCACTGGCAGGCTATACCATTAATGTACCCTGATTTTTTAATATTGTTTATGCCTTGAGTAGAAGTATTTAAATCTGAAGTGTTGTGTTTGTTGAAGCATAGAAAGTATTTTAAGAGAATTAAACGTTACAATGGAAGTGAATGGGATTTTTAATAGTGGTTTGTAACCTGAAACCAACAATTTGAGTATTTGGCTTGGGTTTCTAGCAATAGACCCCTTACGTTTTTTTTTGCCTGCAGCTTTTACTGATCTGAAACATATTTAACATCAGTGAAACGGCATCAGCTCATTAAAATGTCCCGCAGCTGGGTTTTAGACAAATATGTTTTATGTAACCTGAAGTATATGAAAATGACGTAAAGAAGCCGACCGTATAAGCAGTCACTTAGGGTAGTTAGGGTACTATAAGAGCTATGATTACTAAACGTTGAGACACTGGTGTTCCTTATTTTCCAGATAACCCCAGTCCTCAATTTCTTGACTTCTTTGATCGGTTGTTGCACCAGAAGAAGTTTACCGTTTTTCCTCTCCAGCGACAGCACGCGGGATAAGGACCGGACCCCCTGCCAAGGCCGCGTTGGATGAAACTGACACGTATCCCAAACGCTAGTGTAAAATGGAAATAAATAAGTAAATCAAAATTTTATGAAAGTATTTGAAGCGGTGAAGGCATGGCATTAACAACAAAAAATGGAATGATCAAATTTTGGGCCTATGGATAAAAATAATAAAAGAACAAATTAAATTTATCTTTCGAGCAGCAGAAAAAAAGCATTATGCTGTATTTTTTAAATTTTCAGGTCGTATATTTGACCTACTTTTCCCACCCATTCCAAAAGGCAAGGCGAAAACACAGAAAATATTTGGTCAAATTTTTAGGAATTTAAGGGGGAAATAAATGCTGCGATATTACTTTAATAAATGATACCAAGGAGTTTTTCAGAAGCGCCACTATCAGTTAAAACACTTCACTGGTGGCATGGGCTGGGTAAAGCAGCAATGGTTTGCCAGATGTACCCGCTTAATGTACGTCGATCTTTAAAAGCTCATAGTCTATTATCATAAAGACTACTTTACTAGTCGATTGTTCGACTTCACCAGTCTAGAAACTGTTCAAGTTATTGCTTTTGTTGCATGTATTTTGGCGACATTGAACCCATAAGCGTCACACCGTATTTTTGTTTTACTCCAAATTTGATAAACGGATGAAAAATAGACCGTTATTGGAAACCAGCATGATAGGATTACCTTGACGAAGGTTGTGATTTTTTTTCTAAATATTACATCAATGTTTTCCCTCGTTTGGTGTCTGTATAATTCCCAGCTTTACTGTCTAGTTTAGGCCAGGGCCGTTATCGATTGTAGCAACAAACACTTTTACGAATTTTAATTCTGTTTTTTGTAAAAACTAAATTTTAATACCTAGGTATACGATATATCATTGGTACCCATTTTTTTCAAAGCGGAACTATAAGGTATATATGTACAGTTTATTTTAATGATCACTTTAAGGGTAACGGCTTATCCGTTAACATAATCTCCAGACAATCTGATAATGAAGGTTAAAAGTACGGGTCACTGCTGGTAGTATACTCTGTAATCTGTGCCCATATCCAAAGCCAATTTGGTACAATTTGAATGAGAAAAAAAAATTAAAAAAAAAAAAAAACAGGTGGGGACGCTATTAATTAAATCAATTACAATCTCTTTTCTGCACATCCCCACCAGTGACTGGCGGTGGATTAGACGGTGTCTAAATTATTATTATTATTATTATTATTATTATTATTATTATTATTATTTTTCAAAAAGGATTTAACTCAAGTAATAACAGGCATATATCAATGTATTGTCAATACATACATACATGCATGTGCCCCTGCAATGAAATCGCATGCTTAGTTTGATAACATGGAAATTCGCTTGTTTTACATGTATCTATGAAAACCACTTAAGTCACATACAAACAGGGTCATATTCATAGAATAAGTGATAAATCCCATCGTATGCCATAAGTCCACATGGGTCGTTAATGAAGTGTTCGGGAGTGGTGAAATGATACTGGGGTCGCCATCTTTCATGATATAATTGTGGTGTGGGCGGCCGTGGACGTCGGCTGTTGATGCTCGCCGGCTGCAGTATGATGGTCATCAAAAGCAAAGTCAGAGATCTCATCATTTTTTAACTTATTAGACAAAACCCTAGCTTGCAATGAAAATGGTAGACTCTACATGTCGTGGCAGCAGCCGTGAAAATAGCCCTAAAAGAGCGATGACAGGGACTATACAGATGATTGTGTTGAGATGGTTAAACGCCTGGCTGCCTTTTTTTCTCTATGGCCGAACTAAGTGACCCTGGTGTCAGTCGGTGTCCAGACAGCTGTAAATAAATTAAATGTGTTTACATGAAGAGCCAGTGTGTCTGCTTTTGTTACCTTTCTCGTTGCGTGCACTTAATGTGAGATTATTGCGCTGCCACCTTTGGGGTTCGATGCTAATCACAGGGTCCACAGGTAGTCTGTTACAGTATTATTGTATCGGCCTTTACTTTTATTTTGTATAGGCATGAAATAAATTACATAATTATGTCCATGGTACAGGCCTGTCATTTTAGAGGTCTCCTGTCATCAGAGGGTGATGGTTCTATATATCCTCTTCAAGGGTCACTGTGTCCGGAACAGTGCAAATTTAACAATGATCTAAAATTATAAACAGGCTTGAAATACGGACACCGTTGTATACTTCACGGTTGGACAGTGCGTTTATACTACTTTTCATATTTGTGGTCAAAATATTTACGTGTAAATCGCCATGAGGAAATCCAGCGATGACAACAATAATCAGGTTCAATAAGCATTTATGTTCACTCGTTGCTTGTTCAGGTGCATTCTGCCTATTTGTGGGGAGTCCCACTCTTTTTAAAATTAAAATAATATTTTTTTTTTAATATTAAAATATCAAACCAAGACAAATGATTCTTGAACTTAACTTCTTAATCAGATTAATTAACAAGCCATTTTTAGCTCTTTAGACTTAACAAAAAGTATTATAAGGAATTACGGAACACTAACAAGGGGAAAGGCGAAATAGAGTAGAGGTAACGTACCTGCTCTATTTTGCGTTAAGCTCAGTGCCGAGCTCTGTCTGGTCAAAAAGAAAAAAACATGGCACTGTGAAATTACACTAATCACGGTGTCCTACCGAAACATGACACCAGTGGGAGAGTACCAGTGGAGCGTTGAACACGTATTGTGTTCTCTCTTATAATGAAAATCGATTTTCGTGCAAGGGGTGAAGATGACCGCGTTTATAACCGAGCAATATTCCTTTCATTGGGACGGCGGGTGGCAGATAAATATTTCTAATTGCTTGTGGGCTTGCCAAAATATAACTTGTTCACTAGCTAGGCAGTTACAGTGGCCCTACCTAAACTGACTTTATGCCGTGCCTTCACACGAAAGACGAATTGTAAAATTCTTCTTTTTTTTTTTTAATTCACACGTCCCTTCAAAAGGCTGTTTTTATGGGCGATGAATAGTTAAAAAACTACGCATCACACCTTTTAGGTCAAATATACACTTCATTTAATTATCCTCAAAGAATTATATCTATAAGTCTTCAAACCTCTTTGTATCATGGACGGTCGCATCATGTTGTCCTAAGCACCACCAGGTTTTTCCCCACGCGTTACAGTGGCGAATTTGGGGAGGGGGTGGTCAGGGCCGGTCCTGACCCCCACCTCCTTCGATTTCTGATAAAAATCACACCAATGTTCACCTCTTGAAATAAGAATTTTGACTAGTTGAAACATAGTTCTAAACCGTACCATATGCCAAAAATTTTCGGGGCCCTTTGGTTGGGGGCGGGAGGATCGGCTTCGCATCCGCGGCCTGTCATTTCTATAAACCGCACCCCCCCCCCTTCCAAATAATCCTTGATCCGCCCCTGACCGTTCTATCCCTGCATCACTCAGCACGGCTGTTTGAAACTGAAGACTGATTTTATTGAGTTTACTTTTGTGGAAGGTAATTTTGTATACCGGCGGCGAAATTTTTAACGTTATTTTTTTTTTATCAGCTCACCTCCCCACCAACATGGGGTACACAATCATTGAAATGATCACCCTACGCGTTTCAGATTATGGCCTATTTGTGCCGATTGTTTTAGATGTATACTAGTAATTTAGGGCAAAACAAATCTAGAGAAGACAAAAAGTAAATGCCAGATAAAAAAAAGACTTTTAAATACAATACTTAGCTTCAATACTGCAGTAAACAAACAAACAAAGAAATGAATGTTTTGTTACAGTAACATGATCCAGAGAATCGAATATCGGTCATTAAAATAATGCGCCGCCTTTAAACAGGTTTGAAACAAAATTAAAATTTATCTCATATTCTCTTTTGGCGTTTTTTTTAATGCTGCTAGGATAATTTTTGTCCTATTTCCCCCGAAATTTCAGATGCACCCATCGTTACAGGACTCTTACTTGGCCATGTGAATGGCTATTTTCACCACAGTGGCAAATGATTTTGAAATATATACAGAACAAAAATACAAAAAAATATCATTGTGCCATGAAAATATATCACAGGTATAGGATAATTTGATTGAGAAAACCCGAGATGAGATTCTAGACGACAAGTGCCCGGATTATTTCTAACGTCCATACTGCTGATACACAAGGCTCCCAGCCTTTAAATTAATGTTCTACATCATACAACACTGACCGTTCAAAGCAATATGGGAACACAACATTGGATTCCTTCTCCATGTAATGTCAGTGTACCCTGGGCAGTATAAAATATTTGGTTTCTATGCCCGTTTGAGCCGTTTCTAATTAACGATCACTCAAATAATTTTAAACGAAATTTTAGACTGACAAGATAAAGCATGCCTATTTTTGGGTGACACCTATTTTGACGTGGCGCCGTAAAATAGCAGCAACAGGTATCCTCTCTAATATTTTGAATATCAACAATATCAGAAATGCGTAACAAGTGCATACTAAGAGAATAACATGCGTTTGCAATGAGCCGACTATACCAACAACCGAATGCACGCCACAGAGAAAAGAACAGTCAAATCTGAAGAATCTTCTAGAAGCAAATTTTGCCTTGACTTTAGCGAGAAGAGTAGAATCAGTAACTTTCGATGATGGAGTTTTCGACTTTCTGTTACCAGTCCAATATTTATCCCACGTCGTTTTTAACTGATACACCGTCATGCTGGCAACCTCAACATCGTCTCCTTCACAGAAAGCGCGAAGGCCATCACTGGTTTTACTCTTTGGAAAAATGAGCGTGGTGATCACTTGTCGTCCGTCATTGGCGAATAGTTCCACGGATGACCAGTCAAGAAACATATGCAGTTTAAGCGAGCCCGCCTGCAGGGTGACGTTTGCATCGTAGAAAACTCCCATATTCTTGGTAATATGGCCGCTCTTGGATCTATCTATGAAAACGTGGCGTTTTATGTGGTTGTATCCAACAACCGTGTGTTCCCTTTCACCAACCATGAGTTTAAAGCCCACTTTTTGTGTCTTTGGTTTGGGTTTGAGTTGAACGATGATTTCAAGCAATCGCCCCTTTACTTTTTTGGACAACAGTGTGTCATTTATCTGAAATATTGAACGTGTATAAATTATAGATTCAAGCCTTTAAAATCTTCTCTGACGTAGGGCTGAGGCCCGTCATCTGAATAATTTGAAATATTAGCTGATCTTTATGTATATTTAACTCAATTTACACAAAGCAGAATAATTCCCAATAAATTATGAATATATATAGTTAGTTGACATGTAGTTGTTGACTTACTTTAACTAAACCAGGCATACTGATTTTTTTTTAAATAAAAGCAAATTAAAACAACTAATAAGAAAAAAAAAATAAATGAAAAGATTAGGTTGGTTAGTTTGATCACATAAATGGTGACCAAGATCGACAGTAAATCAAAAAGCTAGGATCACTTACAGACGCAATGGTGGTGTTATTAAATTCCCAGACAACCCCAGTCCTCAATTTCTCGACTTCTTTGATCGGTTTTTGTACAAGAAGAAGTTCTCCCTTTTCCCTCTCCAGTGACAGCACGCGGGTTAAGGACTGGGCCCCCTGCCAAGGTCGCGTTGGATGACTTCTACATGATTCCCATACGCTGGTGTAAAATGTTTTAATTAATTAATTAATGGACGGCGTGGAAAATACATTTTAAAACATAATTTAATTTAATTCTTTTACGTTAAAATAAACTCGTGAAATTGAAAGAAATATTTGGTGGAGTCCGATTGTAAGCAGACAAAACACTGACAGGTGATGTAACATTTTTGTCTTCATGCTATTAAAAAATTGCTTTTTAGATAAGTTAATTTCTATTTTTATAAAGAAGGAAATTAATTTATTGAGGAATAAAAAGGAAAGCATTAAATGGATGGATTGTAAGTGTTTCAGTGATTCGATGGCCAAATGGAAGCCAAATGATGAACAATAAGCTTAAACCCATTAGTAGCTTACACTACAGAGAAAAAAAGAGAAAATTTTGGCCTCACCACATCCACCCTGTAATCAACACTCGATCGTCCATATAATTAGTCCACGTCTGAATGGCGGTGAAGTCGGGACCAAAGTCTAAAATTTTGGCCTTGGTTTGGTCAGCAGTAAACTTTTTCCCGTCAAATTCCCCTGAAAAGAGTAAATGTAGATAGAAGCATCTCCTCGTTTTTTTACTCGGTATTCACGTCTAACTTATTTTTATTTACATGTTATGTATTATACCAAATCAACGTATTTTGGCGTTCTAGGAATTTGATGCGGCACCATTAGGCGACTCCTAGCCTTGACACTTGAATATCTCCAAGCCACCGGTGGGGGGGGGGGGGGGGGGGGNTAACTTATTTTTATTTACATGTTATGTATTATACCAAATCAACGTATTTTGGCGTTCTAGGAATTTGATGCGGCACCATTAGGCGACTCCTTGTCTTGAGACTTGAATATCTCCAAGCCACCGGTAGGTTGTTAGTTGGTAAGACAAAGTGGTTAAGTTGTTAATAATTATTTGAAATAAGAATTAAAAAAGTGTAATAAATTAGATTTCCTCGAAATCAAGGTCGGTCGCGCTCAATAACCAACTGAAGAATTGAGTCTGGCTTAAGTCTTCATTGTTGGCGCCGTTATATTTCAGTATAAAAAAGTTTCTACTGCACAATATTTTATTTAATTGGACTACTATTTGGGTCTAAATATTTAGACAAGTTTTAGGGACTACAGTTCTTTTTGGGAAACCTGCCGCAGTAGCTAACAGTCTCAAGGGGGTGGGAGTTTTTTTTTATGAAAAAAAGTGAACATATTTGTCCCCTTAATTGATCAATAGTGAGAATCGGTAGAAAACTACGATGATTTCATTTTGATACAGATTGGGCCTTACTCGGCCAAAGGGCGGCGGTTCTTCCGCCTCCCCTTTTCTAACTGGTCTTATTCTGAGAGTATCGAGTCCAGTATATCCGTTAGGCGACCTCACCCAAAGTAAACTATAATATAATATAATATAATATAATATAATATAATATAATACTCATACCAGTCCAATACATTACAGTGCGACGAGGCCGTGAGTAAGCTCCAGTCATGGACGGCAAAACCCACTTCGATATATTTTCACCTTGCACTTTTAGTTCAACGAAATTTGGTGTCTCCCATTCTTTGTTAAATATCAGTCCTTCTGGGCCTTTCTGACTCAAGTATGTCCAATTTTTCAGATCTGGGGAAGAATAAAACTGTACTGCTCTTTGCCCCATTGCTTGTGCAACCACCATTAGCCAGCGGTCTGATGGTTTATGCCACATTACTTTCGGGTCTCGGAAGTGGCTTTTTCCAGTTCTCAGAACTGGATTCTTGTCATACAACGTCCATGTTATCCCGCCGTCCAAACTATAGGCAAGTCGCTGATCCGATTCGATGAAGGTCCTTAAGAAATGCAAAGTGAAAATGCTAGTTGGAAGATCTACATTTGACCATATTGGCCTAAATATATACATACATAAACTGATTAGTTGATCTTTAATAAGGAGCCCTTATATCTTCAACTTAACGGTTATAACTGAAACATAAATCATCATCGTCATTATTATTATTATTATTATGATTATTAATATTATCATTATTATAAAAACACTGATTAATTATTGATTTAGGGATGGCAATCGGATGGTTTGTTTCTAACTTTGCGCGAGACTAAAGCCTCGTTCTGAATTACATCTCGAGCAATCGGCCTCTGCTCAAAACCCAAGCAAAAGAAGTCTTGCTGCACTTACGCGACTTGTCCAGTGAAAATGATAACCATGGCAGTGGCTCTGTCGGTGGAAAACCCAGTGGTATTTTGAAAATCCATCACCGCACTGCCGCTAAAAGCCAAGATTCCAGCCTGTTCGGGTATGGCGAGTGGCCAAATCTCCCAATGAAGCAAATCCGTGCTCACTGCATGCCCCCAGCTACTGTACAATGTAGGTCCCTTACCTGAAAATATTTAATGTATAGTTTATGTCTGCACAGATGCTGTATGTGTCTGTTTATATTCTCTGTCTGTCCCTGTCGTCGTTGTCGCATGAAAGTTCGACACATCAGTTCTTAAAACCGCCAAAACTCAGTTTCGTTTTACTTTCAATTTACTCTGCGTGGGTTTGTTTGGTTAAAAGGTTCTTTCGAAAATCATCATCGGATCAGAGAAGAATTTCATCAGCTGTGTTAAGTTATAAGAATGATGTGATTTTTTCTTCAGACAACAGCTAATATTGAGATAGGTTTTACCTCCAATATTTCGATGTCTATCTGAACATCTTCTTCAGAGAATGAGGCTATCCAGGTGAATAGCCTCTACTCAGGAGGTGTACTTGCACCTGAGAAATTGCGGATATCCGGAATGGGCATTAAAAGAAGGAGAAAAGATGGGAAAGAAACAAAAACAAAGAAGTGTCCATACCACAGCTCAAAACAGTGACGAAAAAGAGAAAAAACAAGTCATTGTTTTACCCTACACCAGGGGGGTCTAGGAACGCTTACAACGGACATTTAAAAAATACAACATTAACTTGTACAACAAAGCAGGGTTCACCATCCGGAATGCAGTAGTAAGTCCCAAAGACCCAATAGACAACAATGAAAAGTGTGGAGTTGTCTATGAAATGGAATGTGAGGGGTGTGGTGAGAAATAGACCTTGAAATATTGGAGGTAAAACCTATCTCAATATTAGCTGTTGTCTGAAGAAAAAATCACATCACATGCATTCTTTCATCATCGGATCATTTTTTTACAAGTTGTAGTATTCTGCCACATTTTGTGTGGCGTTTTGCCACGTTTTGGCGACATATGTCCCATAAGTGTGAGACCGTATTTTTATTAAACTTTAAATTTGATAAGACAGGTTGCTATTGAAAATCGACATGATACAACTGTAAGATAATTATTACATGATAGGATTGTAATAACGAAGAATAATTATTGATATTTCCCCTAAATATTGCTACAAAGTTTTTCGCTGTCATTGCTGGCATCTGTATATTTGCATGTTTTACTGTCTTGTTTGGCTGGAGATCATCTTTGTTTGTACCAACGAGTGCTTATACTAAGAAGAGTTTTTTGTTGAAACTAATGAAGTTAGTGGCCCATGGATAATAATGTGACGGACGGTACTCAGATTCATTATCCTAGGGTACTAAAATGCTCGGCCTCCACAGGCGACACCTTGCAGAACCAGCGTGCATAATCCGGGGTGTTAACAAAAAATAACCTTGTGGCGCGTCACTAATGATACGTTGTATTAGAGTAACATGAGACCATGAAAGCATAACTGTCCAACCAAGAAGTTATAAAGAGACTTTTATAACTTCTTGGTCCAACAATGAGCTGTCATGAGGGTCAGGGCCACTGTAAAGCTAATTTGTTAACTATTCAAACGTTTTCATGGGATATATATATATATATATATATATATATATATATATATATATATATATATAGCTTCACAGTTTTGCTGATATGGGTTATATATGAAATCAAGATCGAGCTGGCAAAACTGACATCTAGAACCTTAGGTACAATGAGCTCATCCAACCTGAAAATAGAGTCAATATTGGAGGACCATGAACGTCGATGCCTCCACTATGCCTGTCACTTGAAGAAGGACTATACTGCTGGTTTATATCTAGGTCAAAGTACAGTAGGGTCAATCTAAATCCTAATATTCAGACCAGTTTTCAGGCTGCAGCTCTTCTGTGCTATTGCCAGCAGTTTCAGGGGGGAAGGGGGCTACCTGAAATTTAAATTGACTTTTTAACCCCGTAGATGAGCTACACTGAATAATAGCAAAGAATCTAGATTAAATGTATCCAGGTTTAATAAATCCAAGTACTCGACCACACGAAAGTCTATTCAAAGCCATAAATACTTTTATGTGCCCTCCATCCCAGCCTACCGCAAACCTCCAAAGTCTCATTTATACTATATATAGAAAAGAATGGCACCCGGTAGGCCGATATGCTGTTTGAGAGTTGGCCAAATAAGACCGCTTTTATAAATGACCCCACTGTTCTTATTATTTTTACGATGTAACAATTGGTTGCCTGTATTAGGCCCCCTAAATGTCACGGACCAAGGGATAAAATACATGCCAATTATTTAATAAGACCCATCATCCTGAATGTTATGATGTCATGAGTCAGCAATTGTTATTATTTTTAAACATTTCTGCACAAATTTCTCTTTAGATCGTGTCCTCCATACATAACACGTTTTATCATACGTTTATGTGTGTGCATTTCTGTAAGACCCGCTTTACCATACAGAAAAGGTATGAAATAAAGCGATTTGTTTACTCAAAAATGATGGGTTTTTACCAGGAGAAAACTGACATTGTTTGTTGTGGGTACTTTATTTTTACAGATCTACGTGTAGGTGTCTAAAACAGGTGTTTCGCGCAATAATATAAACTGCCAGCAGGTTAATTTCTCTACACCCAAACCCAATATAGAGCTGTAAATGAGGTCACAGGCATGCACTTTGAAAATTAAGTGCACAGGTTAGAAATTATGTTTGATAATTTTATGGTCTCACATGAAAAAATAGAATACACATTTTTAATTTTCTTATTTTTTCATGATTGTTATTTCATTTTTCACCATCAAACTTTCAAATATTTCCAATATATTCTTCGTAAAATATACATTTCTAAATTTCTCATTTTCTCATGTTGGAGGGGGGGGGGTGGTCAGAATTTCGGGGGGGGGATCACATTTTCGTAATGAAAATCTGGCTGGGGAGTCACATTTTAGGGTAGTCAGATTTTCATGGTACACCGGAACACGTTACAAAAAAGCCCACTGAAATTACATGTGGATTTTTGTTCTATTCACACATCCGTTTTAAAGATTGAATACTATTTTGAATTCATTCATTTTTTTTTGTTACATTTCAGCTTGTTAAATGCGCCTCTATATTGGATTTGGGTGTTTCATCAGGTGTAAAATTAAGTGAATAATTAGAATAGAATAACAGATTCAAATCTGCTACATACCAGCTGGATCATATCCATAAAACAAGTGATAAATCCCATCGTATGCGATTAGTCCACAAGGGTCGTTCATGAAGTTTTTGGGAGCGGTGAAGTGATATTGAGGTCGCCATTGTTCATGATACAATTCAGGGGGAGGTGGCCGTCTAGGTCCACAGTTTGCGATCCTCGATAATATACTAATAGTGAGCACCGTGAGGGTAGTCTTACTGGTAGGTCCCATCCTTTTCTACACCGCACACTTGTTAGCCTGAAATAGACATGGTAGGTTTCGCTGTTAGAAAAAGACTGGGCGTAATTCAGATTACGTGAACAGAAACTGTTCTTTGATAAAGAAAAAGTCAATCAGTCACGGAGTTGGATTGCCTTGACAACTGCCAGTGAACAACCGAGTATGTAAAACCAGATTAAATTGATTTTTCTCCAATCCAATTGGGTTTGTATATATTTTCTTGAGGTTAAGAAAAGCAAAAATACATATAAAGATATACATATTTTCAGACAAGACTTTTAAAGAGCTCATTCTAATGGTCATTGTGTATAATTTTGATGACATTCGGTGGCGTTTTTTAAATTTTTGTGGCCATGTTTTACTTATACGGTAGACAATGACAGATGAATCTTTTCGATAAACGGTTTATAACGCTTAACAGCCGCTATATGATCCTTTGTAGTCAAAAGCACATAGAATTAAAGGTAAGACAACCTTTTGACCGAGAGTGCACATGTGTGGCAGGTTTTAGGGTTAAGGTTTGAAGGTTCAGAGGGTTAAAGATTATATTTTGCATGGGTAACCATGAATCGGATTGGTCCTTGAAGACAGGTCTCTTTTAACAAAGAAATGGACATTAAACAATTTCGACTATTGTTGCGAATGCACAGGATACTAGCTAACTGAGGACAGCCAAAAATGCTCATAGGGGATAGGTCTCCCGACGCAAAGACCGCCCTTGGCCTGTACTGTACATTCTCCATACCTATCTCCTTTGGGTTGTTTTCTTGTGGGGATACCTAAATAACAGTGTCTATGCAAACAATCCCCAAAGAATTGTTGCTCTGAAGAATAATAGTCGAAAAGAGATCAGGAGAATTCCCCTTGCCATGTAGAGCGTTGTCTTTACAAACTTCAGTGTGCGAGTAGCTACAGTGATTCAGCACTAAAAACCTTGACTGGAGCATACTATAAATTATTGAGCTGTGCTCGCAAAATGATGATAAATGAGGGAAAGCTTATGCCACACAAAACTTCCATGTCTGTCAGACAGTTTTATGAAAAAATATGTCAAGTTTTCCTTGCAGTTGATACTGCTAATTTATCAAAAATGGAAACACCTTTTTGGACCGCTCTTTATAATGATATAAAGGACACTTTTCGGACGCCTTTATGGGCACATATTTGTAAGTCCTGTTACAAAAAAATGGCAAGTAGAACACTGGTCTATGCAGTCAAATGATAGGTAATCAATTAACCTGGGCTCCGTAACTCGAAAGCATCGCGCATTGCGACCGAGCGCAAGCGTCTCGATTCCATAACTTGCCCATACTACTCGCCCCATATAATACACTGTAGCCTCTATGTGATATCGCTATTCGCGATACGCGACGCTTTCGAGTTACGGAGCACTGGGCTGTCTACCAGTGTGAGGCACATTGCCAGACAACAGAAAGAACCACGTAAGATTGCGTTCCCATAAACCAATCGTACTAGCTGGCTCGATCGAACTCTGCTGTGCTTCTTCCTACAGTACTTCCGGTTTAATCAGCTGGCACGCCCCATTGAGTACATGGAGGGTAATTATCACATGGAGGGTAATTACATCCTAGAAGCTTGAGTTAGATCGATCCAGCTAGTACAATGGGTTGATGGGAACGCTCCCTAGCAGACAAACCTTGTCCTGGTCGACCCAGCTTTCACAATTAACTTCTCAACAAATTCGTTCTCTGGTCTTGTCGAAAAACGAGCAAATAACACAAAAAATTCTGACACCTTTAATATCTAGAACTTCGACTTTTTATACTCAAATAAATAGCGATTTGTAAATTATTTGTTGAAATGTTTTGGCATACAGAGACGACTGCCTTATCCTAAATTCAACGCATCCATCCAAAATGTCGATATACTGTCCCCTTACGCTAAAACAAAGACCGACATATCCGGTGACATTATTATAGACTACAGAAACTGAAAAAAAGAATATATTAATGTTTTATTGATTTTAGGTTGGCACTTCATGTCCACATAAACACATCTATGGACAGTATATTTAGTGTCGTTTATATACCGCCCGAGGAGTTTGTGATAAACCAGTCCTTTTTATTTTTGATGTAGTTGAAAGAGAATTTATGAATGCGCTTTATTGGTTTTAGGCTGACAGTTTGAATATAAACACGTCTACGTATGATGATATTTGAATGCAGCTAACTCAATTTTTATTTACATGTACCATAAAAATGACATACTATTTCCGCTCCCAATTAATGAACTTAAGAATATGTAATCTCTCCTTCCTTTGATGCTATATTGCGTACTAACAACAACGGCAATTTATACTCCAGCAAAAATGGTGCCTAAATTTTAGACTTTGACCCCGACTTCATCGCTATTCAGACGTGGACTAACTATATATTGACGATCGATTGTTGATTACAGGGTGGGTGTGGTGAGGCCAAAATATTCGACTGGGTTCCCATCCCTAGATCCATCTAACAGGATCGGTCCATCTCCACGGGGTTTCTCGGCTTAGGTGGGGTTTCTTCAGCTTAAAGGTACATACGAACCGAACATCGGTGGAGTGTGGATTCCCAGTAACACATGTAAACCACTTCTACTAGATTCTTATATGACTCAAATAATTTCGACATGCCAAGGGATAAACTGAATAGATCACTCGATCGGCCATAAAAGACCTTTAGACTGCTCCTTTCTTTAAATTTATGGTTGTAAATTTAACCTACTTCCGTGACCTACTTTCCTGCCCCATTGACATACAGCTTAGAATACCAGCAGAAAAATCTGTTCAAACATCACTTTGGGGTAAAATTAAACAATGCCTTTTGGTAATTCTCTTAGTTATACTACTTGTAACTATATGCTGGCATTTGGTTGGTTTTTGTGACAAAAAATTGACTTTGTATGCATCTTTAAGTGGCTTAAATGTCTTACCTGTGTGAGAATATATTCTGGAGTAAGGCTTCACACAGCGGCAACGTGGATCGGTAGATGTAACTTATTTTAATAAGTTCAAACTGTGGTTTTACGTAGATCCAATGTCCGGGAGGCTGTTTTACCAGTCACTCAGTTGACCTGATGCTGAAAAGCAAGCGTTTAACAAACATTAGAAAAGAAAGAAACACGATGCCGGGCTAGCAAGATAACTGGTACCTTGAGCGGTGTAACAAGAATAGTATTTTTTGTCCACTCGTACCCCGGTAGTACTAAAGGAGCACGGTTCATCTTCACGTACTTTTCTTTTATCAAAACTTGATTAGACGTTACACAGACGCATAGGGAAAACTAGTCGAAATCAGTGTACCTGAGCCAGGCGCAAATGATGCCCGAAAATCATTTATCACTCAGATCTTCCAATCACCGTCTAATACGGAAAACGACCCTAATTAATTTGCATGTTAGACCACTATGCACAGGCAACAAGGCTGAGGGGATGTCATACTTCACTAAAATGTATAATTAAATTATACGTAACAAGGGGCTGGTATGAAAACGGACAGCAATTATGAATATGTCTATTGCGATGGCGTGTATTTAAGATGATACCCTGAGTACAAAAATTATAAAAAAGGGAAGGTGTCTTCCGGTACTATTCTTATCTACATCTTTACCAGGGACACATATTGATTTTTTTCACTTGATGCTCACATATTTTCATTTTTTCTCCACTGAAAAAACTTTTATCAAGGAAAAAATGCCATCACTCCCTTGGCCACAGCTATAGAGAAATACTTACCCTAATACTGTCAGTAGCCTTGTGGCGCTGTGTTGTTTTCATCATATTCCAACTCTTCATTTGACTATCAATGAATAATATACTCATGTCACACCTAGTTTTTTTAAATCATATTTAAACCTGAACTAAAGTAAAGAAAATGGGATCACTTATAGAATGGGCCTAGTGCATTTTCTGGTCATGTCCCGGTATCACATCATGGGCTAAGTGCATTTGAATTTCGCAAACACATAGTCCAAGATGACTAGCTTGCCTGTATTTTCATACGCTTCGCTGTGTTTCATACTTATATTTACAGAGGTTTGCTCATATTTATGAGTCACACTTGATTGATATTTAAATCACTTTCCCGTCCAAAGACAATAGACCGCGTCGGGTTTTGTTTCGATGTAATACACTAGTATATAGAAATATCCTTATGTACTGTCAATAGCCTAATGTCGCTGTGTTGTTTTCATAATATTACAAACTCTTCACTATGGCTATCAATGAAAAGTATGCTTTCGTCATTCATTTGTAATATCTTTTCACATTTTCTCCTCAAAGACGACAAAATGTGACCTAAATAAAATATGACCACTCCAGAGATGGGCAGAGGACGTTTCGGTCATGTGTCACAGTTCAAGGGTGTTATTTGATAGGGGCTTACGCTTGAAAACATCTCGCCTTGGGGTAGACAGGCGGAGACAGTACCTTTGTATATGTGAGCAGCACCATGTACGTGAAGACTGGGTTGTTAAATTGTTAGGGTCACTTAGAGGTTTTAAGATTCGTCATAGGATAGTCTAGGGTCAAAAGTATGAGATATCTAAATAATAGAATAAAAAATCAATAAAACTTTAAATATGCAGTTTCAGAATTAAAAAAAAAAATTAACATCCAAGATTTTGCGCACACAAAAAGGACCGTTGTATTTGGTTTAATAACTGGAGCGTGATATTTTTTTAAATATACATTTTATTCTATGCAAACCAAACCAGATTCCAAACAATCACATATATCCGATAATACCCCGTTGACTCAGTTCCACGCATTTCATGGCATTTCTATACATGCTGTATATGCATCCAAATCTTAGACTGCATTCCCACAGATTTTAGATCGATCTATTCCCGTGGGGAGTCTCAATAGATTGCTGTCAAATTAGCAGGCTTAAATGTCTGTCCCGCCTACTACAAGCTGTAAGGGGGTAATTAACTTTCGTACGCGCTCGGCTGACAGCAATTTAGCGTGAACCCCCAGAGAGTTAGGTCGATCCAGATGGATCGATCTAAATCTGTGGGAATGCAGTCTTATACTGATGGCAAACTTATATTTTCAGTTCTTATTCCTCGTTCTTTACACCACAAGATGTGGTGAATGACCCGATAGCCACTAACCACGGTTCAGCTGGGTTTCCACTGTCTAACACGATTTTTTTCTGTGGCGGATTTTGATGTTGAACAGGAATCTAACAATTATTTTTCCATGACAACTATCCAGGCTAGTAGACGGGCTGATATTCAAAATTACTCGAGAAATCTCATCTTTTTTCAAATGGAAGAACAGGATGCACAATGTAACGGAACAAGGAGGTATATTCAAAATATAAAAAGTTTTAGTGAAAAATCTTATGATACCTTCAGTCATTTTTATTATTTTCTTATAGTGAATGCAAATAAACTCCAACTGAATTTTAGCTACAAAAATTATTATCATTATTATCATTATCATCTAAACAAAACTCTTAGCTAAAATTTCTCACCATAAAAGGTTTTGGGGCCATTTTGCCTTCGAAAACTCTCTCCAGAGTTTGCAAAATAATAACAAAAATAATAATGAATGAAGAAATAAAAAGGAGAAAAGGAGATGACTTGCCACACCCAACAATTGTTTGAGGCGCCGCGCACGGCCGACCGTGGGGATAGGAAAGGTTGGCACGCAACTATTTGGTGAATATAGTAAACAAGTATAAAAATGATGAGGTCCCGAGCAAATTTTGGAAAAATTACGGAAGTGTTTAAAAAACAGTAGAAAAGAAACAAATTCCATCCGTTTCCCCTGATTCGCGGTCCTACCTGCTACAGAATGTATGGAGTAAGGCCTCACCCAGCAGCAACGCCGAATCGGTCGACGAAAGTGTGAGATAATACACTGTCACCCGAGTGACACATGCCATAACACCCCGAGCGTCAGCGAGAGATGTTCATGACATATATAGCGAGAGAGTGACAGTGTATTATTTAACATACATGATACCGAAAACAATACTGTCATTTCATCCTGAAACACCCCTAATAGCGAATAAAGTGATCCTATATCACATTCTTGAGATGTTATATGGAATAAACTCGTCTACGTGCGCTGGTAACCGCCTGGCAGATTCTTATGTAATGTCTGACCAATTTGGTCAGTTTTTTCTAAATACTTGTAGAAAGGCAACTCGCTTGAAAAGTATTCAATCATCTGTCGACACTGACCATGTGCGACTCGACTGAGCCACACCTAGCTGGGACTGCTGCGGAAGAAAAGTCCAAGGCAAAACCCTTCTTTTCAGTGACTTTTCTGATAAACAAAGAGCGTAGGATCGGAATATAGTCATATTAATTTTTTACAAGTCCAAAGGAGAAATATATTTACTTTTTAGTGATATTTCTGACGACGAGGCGGTATCGGAATATAGTGTAAGTCAGACGGACGTTTATTCCTAGTCCACGGGAGTAAAAATTCTACGTTTTAGTGATATTTCTGACGACGAGGCTGTTTGGGAATATACTGGTTTTCAGAGCATTCAGATGCTCATTACAAGTTCAAAGGGGAAATAGATTTTTACCGATATTTCTGACATAGAGGGAGAAAGGACAGCTCTCAAGAAAAAGGTAATTAACACAACCTGCGTTAAAAAGTTATAGATTAACAAATAATTTATTGTACGCGCATGTCTGGCTAAGATGTACAATAATTCCCTTTTCAAACCATACCCATTCATCTAAGGAGTTAAAAGTACAGCTGTGTGATATGACCAGGTGTAATAAAATTAGAATATAAAATAATGCCATCACTGATCACAAGTATAGAGAATACTTACCCTAATACTGTCAGTAGCCTAATGACGGTATGTTGTTTTCATCATATTACAAACTCTTCATTAAGAGTCCAGAGGCGTATGGAAGCTGTCTTCTGGGTCTTCCGGAAGGCGGTCAGAAACGTCAAAGTTTACATTGACAGGCAAGGCTGTTAAAAAATTTTCAAGATTTCGTTGACGATCTTCTTACTGTGTCTGTGACGGTCTTTTGTGACTTTTTCGCTAACTTCGGTGAAATTGATGTCATGAGACTGTGGTGTGGTCGCCTCGAGTGGTTTCGATCATATCAAAAGTTGACAGTCTTCCCAAATAACTATCGTCTGTTGACAAGCTTACTAATAGCTGATGCAATTAAAATGCCTGGTAGCTGACCAGATGGTATGACAAATGACAAGTGACAATAGTAGATATTCTCGTAGATTGGTTACAGTGTAGAGAGTTTTCACAATTTTAACCTGGAGAGGAGACTCTCTCAATGATAATTTTAATGAATTTTGCAAATTTTAGAAGCTGTTGGGTTTTTGCATTAAACAATTAAGCAAAATTTATATCATTAACACGATGACAATACTATTTAGCTAAATGCATGTTTCTCTAATATCTAATAGTATGATCAGTACAATTGAAAATATAATGGAATTCATCACCAACCTCTTTTTATGGCACAGAGTACAATTTTTTGTTCTCCTATTATATTATTCCATTTTCCAACTTCAATAGGTAATTTGGCATTACATGTTCTAATCTCACACAACAAGGTACTTGCTCATTTAAAAGGTAATTCTAACAGTTATTTTTCTATAATTAAATGATGTTTTTAGATCCTATAATTCATTTCTTTTGCTGAACAAAAAATTTTACTTCTTTTTATGTACAAACTGGTCTTTAAGAGTGTGAAAAACAATACTTTTAACGACTGTATACTAAAATGGCTAAAATGGCTAAAATGAACAATAATTCCCTTTTCAAACCATACCCACTCATCTAAGGAGTATAAGTACAGCTGTATGATATGACTTAGTGTAATAAAATGATAAATATTTTATATTTTAATAAAAATGCCATCACTGATCACAAGTATAGAGAATGCTTACCCTTATATACTGTCAGTAGCCTTATGTCGCTGTGTTGCTTTCATCAAGGAGTTACAACTGTTGTAACTCAGTGCTTTCATTATATTACAAACTCTTCACTATGACCAGAGGCGTATGGAAGCTGTCTTCTGGGTCTTCCGGAAGGCGGTCAGAAATTTTAAAGTTTACATTGACGGGCAAGGACGATAAAAAGAAAATTCACTATTTCGTTGACGATCTTCTTACTGTGTCTGTGACGGTCTTTTGTGACTTTTCCGATAACGTCGGTGAAATTGATGTTATGTGACTGTGGTCGCCTCGAGTGGTTTAGATCATATGGTCACCTCCCGGCAGATTCTTACGTAATGTCTTACCAATTTGGTCAGTTTTTGTTAAATACTTGTAGAAGGGCAACTCGCTTGAAAAGTATTCAATCATCTGTCGACACTGACCATGTGCGACTCGATTGAGCCACACCTAGCTGGGACTGCTGCGGAAGAAAAGTCCAAGGCAAAACGCTTTTTTCAGTGACTTTTCTGATAAACACGGAGCGTCGGATCGGAATATAGTCATATCAATTTAATCTTTTGTGACTTTTTCGCTAATTTCGGTGAAATTGATGTCATGAGACTGTGGTGTGGTCGCCTCGAGTGGTTTAGATCATTTCAAAAGCTGACAGTCTTCCCAAATAACTATCGTCGGTAGACAAGCTTACTAATATCTGATGCAATTAAAATGCCTGGTAGTTGACCAGAGGGTATGACAAATGACAAATGGCAATAGTAGATATTCTCGTAGATTGGTTACAGTGTCCTCTCGTTTCACAATTTTAACCTGGAGAGGAAGCCCTCTCCATGATAATTATAATGAATTTTGCAAGTTTTAGAAGCTGTTGGGTTTTTGCACATTTCAGCAAAATTTATACGTTTATATGTTTAGCTAAATACATGTTTCTCTAATATCTAATAGTATCATCAGTACAATTGAAAATATAATGGAATTCATCACCAATCTCTATTTTTATGGCATAGGGTACAAATTCTTTGTTCTCCTACTTAATTATTCCATGTTCCAACTTCAATAGGTAATTTGGTGTTACGTGCTCTAATCTTACACAAGGTACTTGCTCATTTAAAAGGTAATTTTTTATAATAAAATGATGTTTTTAAATCCCATGTTGAACAAAAAATTTTACTTCTCCTTTTTTTGTACAAACTGGTCTTTAAGAGTATGAAAAACAATACTTTTAACGACTGTATACTTTCGGCATTTTTGTATTGCCAAATACAAGATAGACCACATTCATCTAATATTTTCTTTACAAAACTATACCATGGTGTGTTGTAATTACAAGCAATATGACAAAATTTAATACTTAATTTATTTTGAGTACAATGCAGAAGTTTTGCCCAAAAAGTAACCATCCTGACTTTAATATGAATCTCGAGTGGGTACAGACCAAGTTCACTATACACCATGTTATTAGGAGTTTCAATAAATGTTTTCATTGAAATGTTTTTTATTGAAATTTCATAATTTCAGAAGAAGAATTTCCAATTTAATATTATGACATTGGCTCCATATTTCACATCCATATTTAATAATTGGTTTGACTGCCTTGTCGTAAATATCTAGTTTGCAGTCTATTGGTAAATTGTGGTATGTGCATTTGGTTATTGCCCCATACACTGCTTTAATACCCTTTTCATTTAATTTCTCAATATTTGATTTGCCTAGTCCGTTTATAGAAAAATCAATTCCAAAGTATTTTAAGTTGGATTCAAATTCTAAACGTTTTTCCGTTGTAAGTAAAACACAGGCTTTTGTGTTGTCTCCCTTTTCCAAACATCAAAATTTTAGATTTTTTTCTCTATTAACTTTTAAATGCCATCGTAACAATATCTGAAAAGCAGTCTAGTTGTTTTTATAGATCAGAAGCGGATTCGGCTAACAGAAAAGTATCATCTGCATATAAAAGTACAAATAATTTCAAACAAATTTGCAATTCGTTCTCAAAAATTTGACATATTTTTCAAACCTTTAGCATTCTGTGTAATTAAATGTAGAGAAAATAAGAACAGCGAGAAAATTTAGCTTGTTTGACCCCGGAATTACAATTAAATATGCCTGAGCAATTATTATTTACTATCCTAGATTTTAAATCATTGTACATATTTGTAATGAAATTAAAGCATTTACTATCTATTTTATTATTAATATAAGTTTATTCCATAACCCTAACCTCCAAACAGTATCAAAGTCTTTTCAAAATCGATGAAAGCACAAAAAAAGTTTCTTTTTACACAAATTTGACAGTTCAATAACTGAGTTAACAGTAATATGTGATCAATAGTTCCATTATTTTTACTAAATCCTGCCTGATTTCCAATATCAGTGCTGCGTTATCTGCATATTTATTCAATCTTTCATTCAATACAGAAATAAATAATTCTCCAAGGTAGCTTATCAGAGTAACAGATCTGCAGTTTCTATGTAGTAACTTTAAAATTGCCTTTTTTTTAATGAACTGGTATTAATATTTCCTAATGACCATTGTTTTGGCACGTTCACTGTATTGAAAATCCAATTTAAAAAGTTCCATGTAGAGGAAGCATCATGATAGGTATAAAATTTAGATTTCAGAAATTCATTTTACAGTAAATCCTCACCACAGGTTTTGTAAGGCCGCATTCACATCGAGTTGAGCCATGGCTCTACAAAGCCACAACCTAAATATGGCGGACGTACATAAAAGGAAAACCGCCTAATCTTTTAATAGTCTCTCCGCCTCTCACACGCCTCCCCATGTGTCGTCCCAATGGAGCCGAGAATTAATGACTGTACCCCCGCAGGAACAACGCATGGGGAGGCGTGTGAGCAACTTATTTTCTTAAGTGGCAAAAACTGGATACATATGACATTTGACTACAAGGGTTGCTTTCTTTTAATTAAATTTGCATATTAGTAAGTCCAAACGTGTTTTTGTATATATATATATTTAAACATGACGTGTCTGTGTGTGTGTGTGTGTGTGTGTGGGTGGGTGTGTGAGGGTGTGCAAGGGGGGAGGGGGGGCAGTGAGGACGGATCAACAAAGATGATTCGGAAGAATGTCAGAAAATGTCTCTGGATCTGCCCCTGAGTGACTATCAATGCATAGTATGCTTTTGTCTTTCTTTCGTCATATTTTTTGTCACATTTTCTCCTCAAAGACGACAAAATTTGTACTTAATGAAATTTTGACACTCAAAAAATAGGCAGAGGACTTTTTGGGTCATGTTTCACGTCACAGGGTTTTATTTTATAGGGGCCTACTCGCCTTAGGGTAGGGAGGCGGTGGCTGTACCTTTGTGTGCGTGAGTAGCACCATTTACGTGAAGACTGGGTTGTTAAATTGTTAGGGTTACTTAAGAGGTTTTTAGATTCATCATGGGATATTTTAGGGGTCAAAAGTATGAGGTATCTAAATAATAAAATTTAAAAAATCATTAAAAACTTTACAAATGCGATTTCAGAATATTTTTTAAAATTAACATCCAAGATTTTGCGCACACAAAAAGGACCGTTTCATTTGGTTTAATAATTGGAGCATGACAATGTTAAATATACATTTTATTCTATGCAAACCAAACCAGATTCCAAACAATCAGATATACTTTCTGATACCCTGTTGTCTCTGCAGTTTCATGGCATTTCATGGCATTTCTATACATGCTGTATATGCATCCAAATCCCATACTGATGGCAAACTATTATTTTCAGTTCTTATTTCTCATCCTTTGTACCACAGCATGTGTTGAACTATAGATAATAAACTTCAAATATAAAACAGGCGACCCAGCATTGATGCCATTTCTTGGTAGTGCTCTTTACTGGTGCAGGAGGTCAAGAGTTCGATACCCATGGACACTTCATACTATTGGACGATTATAAAAAAATGAATTTGAACTACAAAAAGTATGGGCCTTTTGCTCTCTAATGCACTGCTCATAGTCAGTGCATGTAGTTGAAGCCAGGCACACCACTTATTGGTAATGACTTGATCTTTTTCAATGGGCCAAAATTATTAACCTTCAGATACATTATTTCATAATTACAAAATTGTTTCAATAAAGCATTTGCGGTGCTTTTACTGCATGTAAAAAAAAAAAAAAAAAAAAAAAAAAAAAAAAAAAAAACCTATAGATTAGCCAGTTTTTTTAAAATTTGTTTGATACCACTCAGAATGAATGTCCTAATTTTATCAAATGATGACTTAAAAAATACAGTATCTGTAAAATATCCAATTACCCCCAATTAAAAAGATCAAGCAAGTACCATACTAGTATACACGTACACCTCAGTCTAGTGGTGTTCCTAGATGTAATACATATATCATAATTCAGCAGGCCCATTCTGCACAGCAGCAAACAATCAATAAGAAATCTACTTTGATTATATCTAAACTTGTGTCCACACACTGACGGCACGGGCTACCGAGGTTAAAAAATTTCTGGTGTTCAGTGATTTAGATTTCAGCATTCGAAAACAGTTGGTCACTTTTTGACACTGAAATTAGGTAGAAAAATGCTGTTATACATTGTAACCAACTGATGTTAATAAACTATGCACTTTAACCAATACTGCAGGATACTGAAACAGTATGGTGCCTAAGAAATGTAGCTGAAACAAAAAATGTTTTATGATCACAAAATGATATTATACGTGGTTAGACCCCAAACATTTGCATTATAGCACAAAAGAAACTACACATACATTCAATATAAAGTAGAAAAAGGAATGTTCCAAAACAGAAATGAAAACATTTAAAAAGTTAACATATCTTGAGATTATTTAAAACTGAACAATAACAACTAGTTCTCAATGCTAAAAAAAAAAAAAAAAAAAAACTTTTTAGAAAACAATCATTTCATCTTCCCTTACGTACTGGTAAAATACAATCTGAATGCAGTCGATGGCATTTTTTTTCTGTATTGTGGCTTTTCTAATAATTGCACAAAAAGAGCAGACTATGACATAATAATGACTTTCAAAAATGAAGGTCAAGGATACCGTGAAAAGAATATACAGTGAATGTAAAAGTGCAGGTTTATGAAATAAGTTAGAGAAAATGGACATAACAGAAAACAATAAACTCTAAGGTATCAAACATCAAACACATTTAAGAGAAATTGTCTTTAAGATTCTTTGTTGCATTCATACACTCTTCCAGGGCTGTTGCTATAGATTTCATTTATCATTTTTGACTATTTTACCTACAGTCACTGCTGTGCTTCAATACAATTCATTATGCATTATTTTTCTATATACTGCAACAGTTGCACCAGTCAGGGCTCATTACTACCTCTGAAAACTAGATTTTTTTAAAGCACAAATGCTGACTTGTCCATGTCCTTCTAAGCATTCTATTAAAATGAGGAGTCTGGAAGATAATAAGTATTCACTCACAGTATTGCTAGAAGTGGGGTATGTATCAGCAGAGATACTTAGTATACACCATTGGCACCAGGGCGAGCCACTTTACTGCTCATGACAAAAACATAAAACACATCAGTGTAAGTACTGTAACAACTACAGACCATGTATCATGCAATGTATATAAAATAAAGAGATATAATAAATATCAACTGTCTTCATTTTTTTTTTGTTTGGATTATTTCAATACATGTAATGAATTAAAGATATGTAGCCACAACCATTATGCTATACACTTTCATTTTGTTATCAAAAGCAATCCTAGAAAATATCACCCACATTAGACTCTATCTAATATTCTATGTTACTATATTATTTACTATAGTAGCTACACATCAGAGCACACATTATTATACATGTACCATATAACTATACACAGACACAAATAAGACTGGAATCAAAGATTGTTTGATACGGATTTCATAAAAAAACAAAATAATGTCGACCATAAATCCCTAAGGTCCTTTTTAATGACTTGTTTTCTTGGCCACAATTTTCTCACCCTGGGTTTCGGAGGTTCTTGGTAATATGCCTCCATGACAAACATTACTACACTGCTGTCTCCATGGCAACAGTAGTGAGGTCAGTATCCAGGACATCGAAACTCTGGGCATAATTTCCACAAATTTTTAAACTGTTGCCAAGGACCTCTGAGACTCAGAGTGGGGAATTTTCCACAAACTATAGTGAATAACATAGAGAAAGGATAACAAAAAAGGTAACATCTTTTTCATAATTGTAAGACAATAGGCCCACAACATTGAAATTGGAAACGATACTGAAAATGGCACTTGAAAAATAGGAATAAGTTAGATACGGATGTGCAACCAGACCCTTAGTACCAACATCATTAAATATCTATCTACAAGTCAGACATATAGGAACATCTTGATAATGAAAACTAAAAATAAATATTATCCGTTTAGAGTGCACAATTATCTTTAAGCATGGACATAAATACCAGTATAATGTAAAACTTTACTATGTCCATATGTTGAACAAAGTCCTGTGTGTAGTAAATGATATTTGTTACCTGCACCTCTAAAGCTCATATTCTAAGAGTACTATATATTATATACAAATCTTTTTACCAGCTTCGGTATTATCTGCTTTATGTATTATATACTATACTTATGCTCTTACATACTACTATAGCTTACATTCTAAATACTGTTCAAACCCATGTAGATCTACATATTATAATATTAATAACCTTTTCCATACACACATAATAAATTTTACCATTTACTTCGAGCAATCCACCCATTCATATAATGATAATCTGTTATCATTCATATAATGATAATCTATACATCTTGACATAAATATATTATTGATTGCTATAGTAACTTAACTATACATCTGGGATGCAGTTGTTGTTCTTTGTATTTATTTAATTTGTACCAACAATTCACAGTTCATCCAATGGCAGTCTTTGTTGTAATCAGCCATTGGTGGCCATTGTAACAATTGTCCAATGACAGTTCTTCTTACTGCACATCCTCGGGCATTACATAGGTGATGTCGTCCCATGGGTGACGGTACAGACCTTGTTTGAGACGTTTTTGATCCAAAAAGTGACCTTAAAAAAGAATCACATGAAATTTAAGCTGTTTCGTTAAGATTTTTTTTGTATAAAGAAATCAATGCATATAACACATCTTATGATTTTCTTTCATGGAGCCATCATTATATGAAATTGAAAATAAACACTTTTTCATCATTCCCAGAAATAGACACAGCGATGAAACAAAGAGTACAACATATTCCTTTTAACTCTCACAATTCAGAGGCACCTCTTCCATTATATAAAGTGTACTCTATATTTTGTATTGTACATTGCCAGTAAATTTAACTTGAAGATTCAGGGAGTTTTACAAGTCCCACCTATAAAAATGGTAGAAAGTATTACAAAGAACTTGACGAAGTAGACGTCACCTCAAAGTCCCGTAATAAACATCTGTTATCAGAGAATGCAGATCGAAAACACCACTTGATAATCTCTGCATATGCTTACCAATAAATCCTATACTTCTTCCCAACACAAAGAGCCCGTTTAGTGCTCCAATATCGATGTACTCCTGTGCCTCTTCTCTGGTGAAGCAGTCACATGACCTCAGCATGTCCGTCATGGCGACTCCGATAAAACCATCCACATTCAGGATTAAGTTGGGTTTCTGGAATTTGAGGCAAGGTGTTGAATCTACAATTTTTTTTAGGGGGGGAGGGGGGTACCAGGTTTTAACATTCACTGAAGATGAATTTATCAAAAGCTGATGTTAACTTATTCATTTTACATTACAGTAATTGCAATTATACTTACAATGACATTCTATTTTTTAATACTGTGATACCACCTAAATGACTCATAGACATCAAGTGAAAATGTTGGTGGAATGGGCTGTTTTCATCCAACGCTTCCTGCGGCTAACCTACCTTGGATGTGGTGATTTTCTCAACTTCTATGGCATAGTCCAGGAGGGGAGTAGATGGGAATGTTTCCTTCACAAACTTCTTTAATATCACAACTCTCATGTCAGGATTGTTGATCTGTGGGTAAAGATAATAAGTTCATAACTATACAGCCATTACCGATAAATCTGCTATTCAACACAGTCAAACTACAGTTATGACCTGGCCTTTTCAAGGGGGAAAATTAAGGATCTTTTGGAAACATAATATCGGTACCTTAAAAATATATTCTCCATTAAAAGATTAAGTCATTACCACATCTCACAAATCAAGTTTCATGCCAGATTTCAACTGATTTCAAAATGTCCAGTCTTCTTCACAATATTCACCATTAGCTTAAGATATAAATTATCAATAAACATTATGTGCTCAGTGTACTCACAGATTTAACTCGGTGCCCTATCCCCATGATAAGCTGTCCTTTCTTCCTCATGGTGTTCACAAACTCCATGGGAATCATGCCGGCGTCAAATGCCTCTGTGAACTGCTTGGCTGCTCCGTCCAGCGCCCCGCCAAACCTGTCTCCCTGGAATACGAAGAATGTTAAATTGAAATCAACTTCACATATCATACTGTCTCTCGCGTCTCTGATACCTGGTCAGATTTCAAAAGTATAATATGTACTGTACACTGGAATCTGTCACAACTAACAGATGGAGGTACCAGTATGTCACTTACAATGGTCAGCAGACCAGAGGTGAGGCAGGAGACCAGATCTTTGCCAGCTCTAGCACAGACAATGGTGTTGTGGGCTCCAGACACGGCTGGACCGTGGTCAGCAGTGACCATCAGACACATCTCTAGAAATTTACAGGCGTACTTGGGAAGTCTGGAATGAAATGTTTGGAAACACTAGTACATATATTAGATCTCATATAAAATGATAAGATTATTGCCACTGATATCTCGAGACAGGGATTTCTGACTGAGAAAGCAAAATTAATGTCAAACTGCGATTTCATAGTGCAGAAACCAAACCAATTTGTCCAAGAAGAGAAGCATTAAAAGAGCACAAACCTCTGCCAAGGCAGCTCATTTCTTATAATTATCATAAAGATATCAAATTATTATCATTAAATTAATAAATTAATCACCAAAATCTAATCAATTTCAAGTAAGCCCATTTCTGACATCTGAACATTTCATGAAATTCCGTTCATGAATTTCGAATCAGGCCAGTTAAAAATAAGAAAAAACCAACCAAGTCAAACACAGATCTTCCTTGCCGGTGGTAATAATTACCTCCTCTGGAACCAGAGTAGACTGAGCACACCACCTATCCCAATGTCCTCCTTAAAGATGTCCGTGATGGGCATCCCAGCATACAACAGTTCCTGCCCGCGCTCATCACAGATGGATGTCATGAAAGACGCTGGTTTTCTGATCAGGCCAAGTTCCTGTAATAATAATAATAATAATAATAATAATAATAATAATAATAATAATAATAATAATAATTAATAACCAGAAAAGCTTCAGAGAGCACATGCAGACCTCTACCAAGGTAACTCAGTTCTGGTTATTATTAATCAATGAGTATTTTTTAAGTTTTTTTCCTTTCATTCTGGCTAAGGCGTAGTTTATGTTGCATAACAAATATATTATACCACAAGGTGTGCATGCATGTGCCTGCATGTGTATATTTACTCCATACTCTACCTCACACTTAGTTTATGAGACTAGTTGGTGATACCATCACATAACATAAATTATACTACATGATGTGTATATGTACCCGTGTGCATGCATGTGTGTGTGTGTGTGTGTGCGCGCGTGCATACTTACCCTGGCCCAGGCGTAGTCCATAGGTACAGTGGGTGGTGGTACTTCAGGTGCAGGCACTATGTCTCCCTGCTCCACTAGGTTATCATATACTGTCCTGGAATACACATGTTTACTTTATTTCTTAACACCTTATTAAGGGTACAAAATGTAGGATCTGATGAGGTACATAATTCACACCGCAAAATTAAATACCTGCTCAGTATGTACCCCAAGCTAGGTTAGGCACACTTTAATATATAATATAATATAATAAGTATAATCTGTTTTAAGTTGGTCAAGTATTTCTTTATTCTTAACTGGAAGTACATTAAGCTTCATTATTAAGAGTGGAAAAACATTGTAAAATCATTTATATCTTAATCTAAAAAATACAACAAGGCAGCAAAGCTGTCAAATGTACAGACAAAAAACAGAAAATAAAGATGCAAAATAGGTCATTTTGTCAATTTTGATGCAATAATAAATAATGCTTATAATAGCACTGTCAGTCAACACTGAATTTTAATCATGCACAACAGGTAAAATGGTCAATAACATGAGCGGACCCAGAGATATTTTCTGACAGTATTCCAAAGTATCTATTTTGATCCATCCTCCATTTTGATGGTCTTCCAACAGAAGAAAAAATAGATACCAGGCAATATAAACTTAATAACCTGACTGTCTTCCGGAAGTCCCAGAAGATGGTCTCANAATGACATGATCATCACAACACTTACTTGATCATTTTATCCAGTTCATCAAAGCTCTTGGGCACATTCACCCCAGCTTCACTCAGGGCTTTGTTCTTGGCTGTGGCCGTCTCTCTGTCTCCATGGGCACTGGAGCCAGCGTGGCCGAATTGAACCTGGGGAGCACAAACCGGAAGATGATGTAGGCGACACTGACCATGGACTCTAAGAAATGCTAGTTAAATTGAAGCCGACCCATTAAAATTTTATAAACTTATTCAGTTACTGGCCATCTTTTCACAGGTTTAGGCCAGTTGATTCTTAGACCCTGGATGTTTGAAGGGATAGTAGGCTTCAAGGGCTTTTTCTTTTGGTCAATGCCCCTTAGGTCACTGACAATTATTTCTCTGCTGAAGATTAGTGGTATGTAAGTGAATGTTATGATCATCCAGCTGTGCTTAACTAAAGTAGAGAAAAATTTTGAATCTGATGCTGGATCTTACCTGATACAAGTAACACTCAGTGGTATTAATGGCGCTGTTGTAATTGTTCTTTTATTATCAGGTAAGTCCAGTACGAGGTTTGTTAAATATTTTTACATGATAACAAACTACTAGATGAATCAGAACATTCACTCACTCAAAGGCAAGTTAATTTTACCTCAGATGTAAACATTGAAGCACAAGTCCCAATGCACCAGGCCACGATTGGTTTGGTGATCTTTTTGTCCTTCACGGCCTGTATGATATTGTACTCCTCCGTCCCTCCAACCTCGCCCAGGACCACAATGACCTTGACATTGGGGTCAGCTTGGTAACGGAATATATGATCCATGAAGGTGGTGCCTGGGTACCTGGAGAGTGAAGAACGGAATCCAGAGATGAAGGTGGAGCTCAAAAAATTTATTGAAAATGCAAGCACCAAATACCTGGCCATAGAAAAATTTCATATGTCATATTAAATTCACTACTTCACAATGTTTCTCAACATTATCAGACATCCATTCCTAGTTATATTTTAATAAAAATTTTTGACTCTCTAAATTTCGATACTACTTTGTCAGTGCTAAAACACTACATTTCACCCCTCCCTTCCCTTGTAAGAAGCAAAACCAGCAAAAAAAAAGTTTTGATAGAAGCATTCTAGATTGCCCATGTTCTACCTGTCTCCTCCTATGGCGACTCCTTCACAAACTCCATCAGTGTTGAGAGAGATGATGTTGTTCAGCTCGTTGGACATTCCGCCAGATCTGGAGACATAGGCAATGCTGGAAGGGTGGAAAAAAAAGATTCAGTGCAAGAACATGTAGGACTTTGACCCACTTCAGAAAAAAAATTCAAATTGAAAAATTATTGAAAAATCAGCATGTCCCTAGCTAAGACCAAAAAATCAGAACAGTCACATCATTGCTATAGAGTACACTGTTAACTGGACCAGATGAACTGATTTGCAAAATTAAATTAAAAAAAATTAAAAATAAATAAATAAATATATTAATAAATAAAAAAGAAAGAAAGAAAAAAAGAAATCTCCTATCAGAAGAAATATATTGCAATTTGCCTCAGATCATTAATCTTAAAGACAAAAGGCTGATAAAAACCAGACCACCAGTGGTGTCCAGTGCTGGTCAGTGAGAGCTCACCTGCCGGGTCTGTAGAGTTTGGAGGCCAGGATGTTGTCCAGCATACCACCAGTGTTCCCTATCTTGAAGCAGCCTGGTTTGATCCCACCAACCTGAAGAAACAGACCAGACATACTGTATGTTTAGGCAAAACAAATTTTGAAGAGTTTGGACAACCCCAATTTTTACAATACGAGATAAGAACTTTTTAAATCTTCTTTTTTTTTTTAATTTTTTTGAATTGAAAAATGAATGCCTTAGGTACTGCTTTGTTAAATAAAGTGCAATAATTATTATAATTGTTATCAATGATGTTAACCTGAAAAGCATGCATTAGCATTTATATGTACTAGTAATAGAAATTTCAATTCAATAAGGCACAGTGTTGGTTTATAACATACTCAATTCCTTATGACTTAATGGTGTGTGTGTGTGTGTGTGTGCATGTGTGTGTGTGTGTGCGTGTGCGTGTGCGTGTGTGCGTGTGTGTGTGTGTGTACACTGTATGTATCTCAGCAGTGTCTATATACTCACAGTGGCCGGGCCTATGATGGTCACTCCCTTCTCTCTGGCCATCTTGTTAATTTTCCTAGTCAGGTTCTCTGGGATGCCTTCAGCTATGATGGCTATGGTGCGGATCTAGGGGAGGAAGAACAGCAGGTTAATGTCTGAACTTACACTGTTTGTTAATAAAATCTTTGGTCTTGATTAAAAAATATTATTTCATCCAATGTTAGATAAATTTTGGGTTAAAATAAACTCATAAACTGAACAACATAATTTTTAGCCCATTTTACCCTCTTTCCCACTTTGAGGCGGGAAATTTAAAAAGAAACTAGCCTGGCTTACTGCATCAAACTTCAAGTACTAATTAAACACTTTAAGTGTTTATTGTGAATTGTTCACTCTAACTGTCAGCAAATCTTGAACTGATGCAGGCTTTGTTAGAATAGAAGAACATGAAAACTATAATTTATGAAGCAACTTCTCTTCCTTGTAGAAGCATTCTGATGTTTATGTGAAATATCTTTTTTTATTCACAGCTTAAAAGGTTTTGAATTTATCCATATAATACTTTCAATGCTTTATTTCCTATCAAATATAATGCCAAACTATACATATATTTAAACCAACCAGTGTGTAGAACAAAAGACTTGGCTGTGCTGTTTTGGACATATAGCATGTCATGTACGAGTGCCTTCCACGGTCTGTTGCACTCACATATAAGCCTGATACAACACTTGTTGCCGAACTGTACATAAAATTACTCGTGTATTTCACGTACAGCTCGGCGACTCATATTGTATCTATCACATGATTAGTTTAAATATTAATTTCACAGTAATCTGTTTGTTTTTCTTTAAAATCCTATTTTTAAAAGTAGTCCCTCAAATGCTCTAAGAGCACATTCCCATAGATTTCATATCGATCTATCCCCGTGGGGAGTCTCACTAGATTACTGTCAGATAATCCGGCTTAAATGTCTGTCCCGCCTACAACAAGCTGTAAGGGGGTAATTAACTTTTGTACCCTCTCAGCTGACAGCTATTTAGAGTGAACCCCCAGGGAGTTAGGTCGATCTAGTTGGATCGATCTAATCTCTGGGAATGGGGTCTAAGCCTGAATTTGAAGTTAATCCTTCAGATAATGCAGTTATCCATACACTTTAGTTAAAGTAAACATTTTTATTTAGTTTTTTAACACTACATAAACAGTATATGAATATGCATTATCAGGTGCAGAGAGAAAGAGAGAGAGAGAGAATGAGAAAATTTAAGCACTTGTTTAAGCCTCAGGGGTAAGTGACAGAACAACTTAAAAGAGTTCTGCCAATACGGTACCTTAAGTGGTGTCACCTGTAGCAACATTTCATTTTTTAAAAATAAATTCAGAAAAAAAAATGGAATTTTTCCAGCTTTCATTTTTTTTATATATATTTCCAAAAGGGAGTCTTGATACTTAGAATCCAAAATAAAAGTGCACAAAATACATCATGTTAAAATCTTAATAATATAATGAAACTTAAATAATATATTATATTATTTGAATTTATAATTAAGTAACAAGTTAAGAATTTAGATGACTAAATAAATTAATTTATAGCCAAGAAAAAAAAACAAAAAAAAACAAGCTGATGGAACTGATTTTTTCAAATATTAACCCCCCACATTCAAGTCCCAGTAAAAATCAATAAAACTTGCACCATTTCAAGGGAGGACCAAAGCCATCTTCTGGGTGTTACAGAGGATGGTCAAAATTTTCAAGTTTACATTTAGGATGTCTATTTTTATGGTTAGAAGGCAGTCAAAACTGGAGGAGGGATCAACAAACTTAAGGTAATTTGGAAGACTGTCAGAGCATATCTCTGGATCCGCCCCTGCCATTTTATCATTCTATGACATGTTAATTCACTACTCTAGAAGGGCCATCTTCACCACAGGTGCTGGCGTCATTTTGCAAACATTCTCAATTAACAGTGAACATTATGTGCACAGAAGGCAAAAAAATAAGAGAAATATGTGTATATCTAGTGAATTTTTTTTCTCAGTGATCCTAGTAGTGGGCGCTATTCCACATTGCTGTAATTGAAAATTAAACATAGAAACTGTCAATAGTACAAAGTTGTCTCCACAAATCTAACACAACAGACCCAGCCTTGTAAAATACCAGTGTGTGACCTGGATCAGACTTCAGTTTCAACAAGCTGGAAACTTCTGTATTCATGTTTTGATATACCACAACAAATCAGAGCTTTTGAGGTGAACAATACCCCACAGTACAAAACATTTCAATACTTGTACTGCAAAGCAAACAGCAATATAATCTAAACAAAACAATTGTTATAAAAGTGCCTGCTATTTTTAAGCTGAAAACAAGCGCCAAAAAAAGGTATGAACTGCCCAGTTAGCTGTTAACTGCAAATTGGCCGCCTATTATCAAGACATCAGAGCCCAGGTGGACAGTTTTCTGTTTAATTTGGTAAGTTACATCTCTGATAATTCAAAGATAAAAAAGGTACAACAGCCAAAATCAATACTAGTAAAGACATGCCTAAAGGCTTTAAATCATCACTAGGATTTACAGTTATCTGTAAAGGGGGTTTTAGAACGGGGAAAATTAAACTTCGTTTCATTTCCTTTTAAATCTTTTTACCTCCGCCAAGGAGTTATGTTTTCACCCCTGTTTGTTTGTCTGTCATCAACATAACTCAAAAAGTTATGGACCGATTTTGATGAAATTTTCAGGAATTGTCAGAAGTGGGCCAAGGAAGAGATGATTAGTTTTTGGTGGTGATCCGGATCAATAATAAATCAATAACCAAAAACTAAGTTATGGACCGATTTTGATGAAATTTTCAGGAACTGTCAGAAGTGGGCCAAAGAACAGACGATTAGTTTTTGGTGGTGATCTGGATCAATAACCCATCAATAATCAATAATCAAAAATATTGAAAATTAAGGGGTGAAATGGAGACTTTGCTGCCTTGACCGAGGTCTGCGCTTTCTGAGTGCTTTTCTAGTCTTTGATATAACAAGTATATACATTACCCCAAATACCGTTAATAATTACATGGACCTGTAGATGTTACCAAGCTAAAATGTAAGCAAACTAATCTTACTGGTAACGTAACCTTTTTTTTTCAGTTATCCACAGGAGGAACAAGAAAGACACAACTTGACATCCTGTATTCAAGATAACAGAATATGACCAATTTTGTTGTTTTACATGGTAAGAAATGTTTTCTTTTACAATCAAATAAAAGAAGATTAAATTTCTTTTCAAGAAGAAAGACTTGATTTTAAAATCAGTTCATACAACATATCCTTTTTTTAGCATGAGTGATTGAATAAATCAACACACAAACAATCAAATAATCATAAATAAATTAATAAACTGGATGAGATAATTATAGGCCATTTGATCATTAAGTTTAAATTATTATATTTAATTTGTCTTAAATATTATAAAAAAGTACTTTCCCTTCTGATAGGTAACAAACATGAACAAACTGTGGAAGCTAGCTATCAAGAAAAACTGTGCTGAACTTGTAGAAAACCTGGAAGTTTTACGAGTGATTCCCCATTTGTATCAAAACAATATCCTTGATGATGACGATGAAGATGACATACTTTCTACCAGTGGAAGAGAGGCTAAGTGTGAGGTTCTTCTTGGTTATATACTGAGGAAGGACCCTGCCCTAGATCCCTTTAGACATTTCATCCGTGCCCTCCAGTCTACAAACCAGAATCATTTGGCTAGAAGTCTGAACAGTTCATACAACTTGCTAGAACAAGAAGGCTATGGAAATATGGATATTCCAGAAGAAATTCTTAATGACCCTTGCATATGTAACTTTGAATCTATAAGCCGTCTATATGGTCATCAGAGGGTTTCATGCAATTGTTCATTTATTGACAAAACCATCAAAAAGGCTCTGAAATGTATTCAGTTTCCTTTTCAAATTTTTCTGATACTTCTATCATCATTTTTTTATGAAACATATGAGCATATGATCAAGCCGTTAAAGGTTAAAAAATTAATGGGATTGTCTATTTTACACCTACTTGGCTTCACCTTCTGTTATTTTATTTACACTATTATTTTCTGGCTTATTATTCCCCCCATCACTCAATATGTATATTTACTGTTACTTTTTCTCAAAGTTAGTCTTACTTCACAGAAAACCCATGAAAAGCCATCTAAAATATTTGTGGTGAAGAGAAATCTCGTACGATTAAGACCAGTATTTAAACTAATAAATTGGCTCATAGAGAGGTTCCTCCTGCTGTTGCTATATTTAAATGCTTTTTATCTAGGCCCTGCCATCAATTCTGTGCCTCATGAAGTCTTCATATATTTTCTCATAGTATACATAACATATCTTTCGGGATTTTTTTTAATAAATGTATTAGGTACATTTTCTATTACTTATACACACATCACGTACTATCTATTTCCATCATGGAACTGTTTGCTTCTTATCATAAATATTATCAACCTCTACATGATATTCTATGACCTACTGCCTTATCACATCCCCCAACTATGGTTACCAGTGTACATATTTCTGCAACTTGGTTATGAAGTGGACTTTTCCTTCAAATTTATAACACTGAAGAATTTTCAAGATGAACATGACTCTCAGATGCAAAAATCTCTGATCATGATGAAAAGAAAGTTAATGGCCTGAACATCAACAATCTATGGTATGCAGACGATACAGTACTCATTGCAGACTCTGAAAAACAACTCCACAGAATCCTCAATACAGTATGAAAAGAAAACTAGAAAAGGAGACTGGAATTGAATACTATGAAAACTGAATGCATGCTTTTATCAAGTAAAACAAATACCCAAATGCAACATCAGCTGCAAAGGAGTAACAATTTATCAAATTAAATATCTTGGATCCATGCTGACATCAGATGCCAAATGTGACATAGAAATTAAGAAACAAATATCAATGTTTAAGGGCACATTTAATAAGATGAGTCCAATATAAAGAACAGAAACATCTCCTTCGTCACAAAAATAAGAACATTGAAATCTTAGATGTGGTCAGTACTCGTATGGTTGTGAATGCTGGGATGTCTCCAACAAAACTAAGAGGAAACTGGAAGCTAATGAAATGTGGTACCAATGAATATTGTTGAAAATATCCTGGACAGAAAGAAAGACCAATGAAGAAGTGTTACAACTTGCAGGAATACAACGTTAACTGATAAAAACAATCAGAAAAAGAATGAAATCTCTGGACCATATCATAAGAAAAGACAGAATAGAAAAACTGGTTCTCTATGGGAAAAATTGAAAGAAGAAGTAGAGAAAGACATTGAATACCATACATTAACAGCCTTAATGCCTTTGCAACAAATCATCAACTGTCCAACAATGAGCTCATCCAATCAACTAAAAATAGAGTAAACTTTTGGACAATGATGGTGGCTGCCTGCACCAGGCCTGACACTTGATGATGTGAAAACATACAGAACAGTCTTACTTAGTTGGGTTTATCATTGGGTTCCTAATTATTTTCACTTTTATGCACCATTTTATTAGGTCATTTTGGCCAAGTTCACCATAAGCACTTTTTACAAAAAAGAATTATAAATGATTACAAGTATGAATATCAATAAAACTGAATTCTATTTCATCTCACAATTTTTAGTTAGTTCTGCTTTTATATTAATAGTTAACAATTGAATAATTTCTCAATTGCCCTCAAGGTATGGACCGGACATTAATTCACATTCCCTAGAAATCACAAGTGAATACCTTTTTTCCTTAAAATTATTTATTTCCCTCTACTGCACTTAAGTCAATATCACATTTCTGAATTTAGCTATTAATAGTGCACAGAACTGTTAGCACAATGAAGATTAGTGCCCAGTGAGAGAAAATGGGACTTAATGTGAAGCAAAATATAATTATTGAACTTTTGGCTACCATCATATACATACATACATGATGTGGTTGTACATAAGTCACACTCAACTGATGCATTTGAGCAGACGATCCATGGCAAAGACTGTGCTGCCATCTTTTGTCAACCAGTGCCCCCCCCCCCCCCCAGCACCCACCCCTCACACATACACACACACAAACACTATACCTGAGGATACTGCATAGTTTCTATGGTGCTATCATATGCTGACCGCAGAGAGGCAAAGCTGACCAGTACATCTGCATCTGGGTGCTTCTTCATAGCATCTGCCATGTTCTTGTATACTGAATGTATAGAGAATGGACAATAATAATATTATTGTAATAATATAAAATTGGACTTCTTATGGCACATGTGCCTAGTCACATTTGTTGGCTCTTTACACTTAGAAATTTAAATAGCATAATATGATAGCAGAAATTGAACAATTTACAGTAAAAGTATGACACTGAAGGACAAGACACATCTGCTGTACATCAGATGACTATCAGAGCTTAGTGCACAGACATCTACTGAATAATGCATACAAAATTAAATACCAAACTTTTCAATCGATTTACAATTATTTGTACTTTTTCCATTTGTAATTAAAGCAATTAATGTATGAAACAAACTATCTCCCCTCACCCCCCAAATAATGAACTTTCAGTTCAGAAGAACATGTATCCATTATCAAAATGTGGTCTAAATCAAATGAAATTTTACTTTTAGAACAATGAAAAGATTTGAATATATTGTTTACTGTCCTTGCTTTCATCTTGAAGACAGGCTCCAAAAACAAAAACCTTCTGCTACCTAATATCTGAAGTCAAAGGAAAACCCCAAACAAAACACTTCATAATTGTTAACTTACTGGTCTATAAACAAAACCTGTCAACACCTCACCTGGTATAAGCACCTCCTTGTGACCAAAGTAGAACTTCTGCTTGTGATCTCCCCTAAAAACAGCATGGTGAGGACATAATTTACAGCACTATGAGCCAGAATTTACAAATTTTTTCATCTTTTTTATTTTGAAAATGGTTAACATTCATATAACATATAACGCTGAATAGATTTATGACAAAAATGCTGAGTACTTACAAATAAGCAAAGAAAGAAAAAAAAGATAAATATAAAAAGGTTACAGTTTGATATTTAATACAAATTAATACAAATGCTCAGAATAAACAATTAATGCAACAGCTGTAAACACATGATGGTGCCTAACACATTTAAAAAATAATAACAATAAAAGCAATAAAATAAGTAAATTAAATACCATAATCCAATCTACTTACACAAATGGATACACCTGTGCTACAACAGAGGGCTCTTTCCGCGAGCACACAAAATCATAGTCCAGCATTCCCTGCACTGCGCGATTCTGCATTCCCCAGATGATCGCCTTCGTTGTACGAGTGAACAGAGGTTCGTGAGAGATTTCCTTATTGGAAGAAAGCTGGGCCTCCATGGAAGTGTTGTTGTCGCTCCCTTTGCTGCCAGGTTTGTGGAGTTCTGCATCTGAACCTTTACGACTCACTGAGGGAGACTGGAATGATATTAACAAATGTGATAATCCTTTTAAAAATATAAATTTAAGCCTTTGTGTGTTATTATAATATAGATATCTCTTCTTTTTTTTTTCTTTTCGAAAGTTGTAAAAAGCTTTTTATTACATAAACAGGGGTGCATGGAAGAGAAAAGTAAGTATTCACCTCCAACAAAAAATATATATTTTTTTAAATGTGAGACAAGTGTCTTTTTTTCATCTTATCTATAGCCAGGATTTTGAAATTACATGACTCTGTATGTTCCCCAAATCCATAATTATCCTGAAGAAGTTTTGTACATGTATGCAACAAATCGAACGAAACATTTTTAACAATTGTAAAATGGTCTATATCATTCATATTACAAATGACATAAACAACGAGTATACTGGAAAATTCCACAGCCGACAGTAAATTAACTTCAGTTCATAAATTTAATTTAAAAAAGCTCCCAATAATCATATCTGTGAAAAGAATTATTAACTGTCAGGTTGCAGAAAAAAAAGACCTGAAAATTATTTGAGCCATAAAAGTCATACCTAGATTGCTTAATAAATCTTAATAATAAATATACAAGAAATTATTAATTGTAAAAACAGCTAGTTATCAACCTGAAAAAAGCTTAAAGGGGGAAAAGCCAAACAGCATCAAACTGAACTATGGGAATAGAATAATACATGGCTAGCATGTCAACATATCAATGCTTACTAGGTACTATATAGTAATATACACGTTAAGTTTTACAAAAGCTTTGGTTGAAGTTTAGAAGGTTGAAGGGGTCAAAACATTGTGTTATTATAATAGCAATGCATACATGTTTTCATCGCAATCAGAAAGCTCTGGTTAGGAGGACGGGGAACAGAGGAGATACAGATGAGAGGAAAGAAATGAAGTAACATTTAAATTGAGATAGAACCTGGCTTATGATGGATATTCAATGCTTCCTAACAGAACAGAAATCAAAGTCTTGTCTCTGTGGTCTGATCTTTACTAAAAAAGTGAATGAATAACTATAAATCAAATAAACAAAAAAAAAAAAATCTTTCTAAAACATCAGAGTAGCAAAACTATACATTCCACCCCACATTCACATGCATACTTTGAAACTCAACAAAATTTTTTTTTTGCTTTTGTGAATTATGTAAAAAAACAAAACCGATACATAAAAAAAAATGTTTATAGCATGAATGTTCTGTAATATCAAATGATCACCATTGTTCAATGCAGGAAGTATTAAACAAGCAGTGCTGCTAAAATGTTCAGTAACATGAAAAACATTCAAAAACTACCTTTTTCTTCTAAATGCAACATGACTAAGAAAATAAAACACAAACATATTCTGAAACCCTAATACAACCTCAGAAAATCTCAGGCAGACAGCCATGCATGTGCGTACAATCAATGAAACGTAGAATTGAAAAAAAAAAATGAGAAAGTCCCCTTATAACTGTATTACCTGTGGTGCTGCCCTCTGGAAAACACGACCCCATCTCTTAAACTGATTCCAACCAAGTGTATGGTATGAACCTCTATATAACACCAGATCTACTTATGTTGATGTTGACAGTTAAACTTTTACTTGATAAAATAAATAATTTGAGATAAACGGTTGCCAGAGCGAAAGGATTCAAATAGATAAATAAATTCTATCATAAATGAGATTTAAAAAAACTATACTGCTACATATGCAATAAGGAAATGCCACAATAGTAAAATATGCATAATACAAATCAGACTAAAACTAAAGTCTTTGTACTGCAACACCAAGGATCAAAACTCTAAAAGTATACCAACAACATTCTATCAAATGTATATTTTTACCTTATTTCCCAAGCCCTGGAAAATGCATTCAAACTCTTTTGAAACTCAAATTTTAAAATGACAGACATTCCACACTAACCAAAGCAATGCCACAAGAATATTTGTGCAAGGAAATATAATACTAAATGTGTTATGTTTTTTTAGAATTATCTTCATTCAAAATATTTCATTTTTTGCCTTTGCCAAATCTTCACTCAAGTGTCTAAATGCCTGGTGTCTAAATGCTGACATGTCAACTCTTTAATTATAAAATTATTTTTTTTAAATTAAATTCTTCTTACACTGACTTCATAAATGATCTACAGCATGTTCGTATGCGGTTATATTTTTTCTATTAATAAGTTTTTTTTTCAACTACTCACCCCTCCAGGCAGCAAGAAGTTAGCAGTGGTCAACTGTTTGGGTTGTGGTCTGGGGACCTCTCTGGTACCTAGTGCCATACCAACAATAGCTGTCATGTGGGTCTCAGGACCAAACACGTGGATAGGAACACCCAGGGTCTCGCCTGGAAAAAGATTTCAATTTACCAAATGAATAAAATAATATAATGCAATACTAAGCTTGCAGATAGGAGAGGTTGAAAAAAAACACTAATCAAAAGAAAACTGGAAAATTTAGGAGACGAAAACAAAAGATAAAATTGCTCACTCTGTACCTAGTTGAGTTCATTGCACTTAAGGCCACAGAGAAAACAATATATATCCATTCCAGCTGATTACATTTTGATTAAAATAAATTATTCTAACAATTTATAATCACAATGGTAATACTGTTATAAGTCGAGTCTTTCTTATAATCTTTACAACCAATAAACACAAAGTATAACAAAATCTTTCTCAAAATCATTGCATGTTAAAAGACATTGTGCCAGTTCCTTTTTATCATCATAACAGTTCCCAATAGTGCTCAGTAGACGTACCCAGTTCCCTCATTACCCTCAATCCTTCCTGGTAGTTAGGACCTGCTCGCCTGACGTAAATCTTTACGTTGTGTTCTATGAGCTGCTGCTGGTACTCTCTCAGTGCTTTCACGATGCCCTGGCGGAGTAGAGGAAAAAAAAAGCTATGAAATGCTTCTTTTTCCCTCTTCTTGAGAAGTATTACATCCGACTTGATGGGGACTACATTTTCAAAATTTATGCAGGGATGGCCAAATCTCATTTGGCATTTCAGGCTCATTTTATATGACCTAGTCCAGTTTACATATTCAAAATTTCCTTCTTAGTATTTCATCTTATAGCACAGTAACACTGACAAGAGGAATTTACCTTGAATGTAGTTGCCACATTGGTAAAGTTTGCTATACCACCACCAATGATCAAGATCTTTCCTGGAATAAAAAAAAAATTAATAAAAAACTAAGATTTAATAGATGCTTGAAAAAGACAAACTAAAAGTGTTAAATCAGACAAAATGAAGTCTTTCAATTATGCTGTTAAACTATAAATAAAAGTGTGTTACACAAAGGAAATGTTTCAACTGTAGGCAAGTGATTTGGTACTAAATTGATCTATGGTATAAATGTGTTATTTGTTGATTAGATTATCAATTGTTTCTCATATAACTTCAAGAATCTCTCTCTCTCTCTCTCTCTCTCTCTCTCTCTCTCTCTCTCTCTCTCTCTCTCACCCACTCACCCACACACACACACACACACACACACACACACACACACACACACCATCTGGATGTTTTTCCTGTGTCATCAGGGACAGGACTGTCTTGGCGTACTCGTGCGTCTGCTGCTCATTGGGTGCCCCAGAGTACTCTCCATAATTAGCCAGCTCACTGGCGCCACCTAGGTCACAGATGGTATCTCTGGAATGTGTAATTGTGTCATATTAACATACTTGGTAATTAATTTGAACTGATATTTCATAACTTATTTGGAGATTAATGTGAACCTTTTTTTTCTAAATCCTGAAAATGAAAGAGCAGATGGTGTGTGGCTGTAGGTATTGGGGATCCCAGGGTCATGGCCCAACAGAATTTTCCAATTTTTAACAAATTGTTTTTAGCAATTGTTAAGGACTGTTCTTCTGCTTCCCACTTGACAAGCTGTTAAAAATATTAATTATCTTCACCCTGCTGTCAATTCAGACCCACTTACGCATAAATGACAGAAGCCCCGCCCCCTGCCACCATGGTCCAGATACGCCCACTTTTGTTGAGCACTGTCAGCTTCAGAGAGGCTCCTGTCTTGGCATCCAGATCTGCTATTGCTGCCTCCTACAACATTATATATAGTTGGTGTTTATTTTTTGGTTAGTGGACGAGATATCTAGAATTTTGTTAAATTTTCAGAATAATCAGCAGTTATAAAGGGAAGAAGTGATTACAAATTTAACATAATTTCTTATTGCCTTTTTCCTAAGGTAAAGGTCTGTTTCTTTCTACGAGGTCTGTAGGTATTGCTACAAACCTCTGGATAAGCATCTCGTCCAAACGGGGGCGGGAAGTCCACCTCTCCCCACTGTTGTTTACACAGATACTCCCCACACTGGTCAAGTTTGGCCGCCAAGTCCAGCACATGGACAACACCTTTTGTGACCACTGGAAGCAAAACAACAGAAATTATTTTGGTACTTGTCTTTTTCTTAAATTATTTGATCACATTTATCAGTTCTATCAAGCAAGTCTAAATAAACATAACATTTTTACAAATTATGAAGAATATAAAAAATTATAACTTTACACAGCTGTTAAGAAGGGTAAGAAGTGATTACAAATTTTACAGAATCCTGATCTCCCGAAAACAAAAATCACAGCTGTTATTCTCCTAAATTACTTGATCAAATTTTATCAATTCTATCAAATTAGCCTAAATAATCATAACCTTTTTACATATTAGGAAGAATATAAAACATTACATTTGATTCAAACAACTTCAAGCACCTTCTCCTTAATATCAAGATCATTTACTATAGTAATAGGTATTCTATGAAAAGAACTCACTATCTAGCCTGAAAGCTTACCTAGTGGGTTGATTTCTAGATAAGTAAAATAGAGATCCACATATATTTTGTACAGGGCAGCAATAAACTGGCTCAGAATCCTGAAATGACATGTAATTTGAAATTAATCTCATGCTCCTGTTAACAATTATGTTTTAAGTAAATATGGATTGGTTCAAACATAAAATATTAAAATGTTTTAGAACAAACAAACATTATTCGAAAGACGGACAGACAGGAAGGTAATTGTTGAAATTTTATTCAGCTTACTCTTGTTTGTCAGCAGGAACCTTTGTCAGTAATTTGTCCTTGATGTCTTGTTCTGTTAAGTTTTCTCCAACAGAAACATCCACTTTGACTGCCTGGAACAGATATATATGACGGTCACTCAGGAAACCTCAAAAGTTTCAAAAGGAAAGTAACTTAAAAACCAGGTTATTTATTTTTTTCTTCAAATTCAAGTAATTGCACACTCTTTGCAAAATGAAAAAAAAAAAAATTCTAACTTAAAAATAGTGCCCAAATTAATTCTGTATTTGATCATCAGAAAAAAGCTTAGCAATCTCCATGGTTGCTGATACAGATATCTGATAAGGATGCAAAGAGCAGAAAAGTGAGGTCTTGGCTGTGAATGCCATAAGAAGAAGCTGGTACAGAAATTTGAAAATGAAAAAGTTGACCCTCAATTTGACAGGCTACACATTTATTTATATAGAGATACACATGTATATGTATAGCATACCAGTGTTTTACATACACCGTAGACATGCATACCTTGTCATCCACGTTGCCAATATCCACACCTCCCTCGTGATGGAACAGCACAGTGTCGGCACTACGATGAGAGTAGATACAGACATAGAACTCTTCATTCTGCTCATGAGGTACAAAGGGTTCCACTATGAAGTTCTTCAGTTTGCCTACAGCTTTGCCAATCTGTAATATATAAAGATTTCATGAAATTGAAATAGTTATATGGAAGTAATTTGAACCAGAAATTTGATGCTTACCAGTTAATTTTTTTTAAAAATGGAAAAAAAAAAATATAATGAACAGTGTAAATGCGATATTAAGTTTTTTATTTCTTATTAAGTTCATAATTCTTTCTCTTTCATTCATAATTTATCTAAATCTTCAATTTCCTCGTTCAATTTTCAATTAAACATTACTGAGGAATTGTAAAGATGGTATAATTCTACATAAATCTTACTCCCAGTGAAGAGGGAGGCACCCAGACAGCAGCTGTGACAACTGATCTGGTCTATTTATGGTGACACATGCAGCAGTTACAGTATAATAATTATCCATAAAAGACAACACCAAAGTCTTTCAAAATGGTAACATTATGGTTTCAAGATCTAAAATAATTATAATATAATATAAATAGGGGGTGAGGACAGTGTCTATGTAAATGACAGACTTATAGCTATATTCAGCTCAAGATTATCAATTTATAACCAAATATTTTGCAAAATAAACAATGTAATTTTATTGTCTTTAGTTGGCTAAATAAAACAGGAAAACAACAATATTTCATTTCTAAATCAATAATCCTGTGTGTGCGCTTGTGTGTGTGCAGGGGCAGATCCAGAGATATTTTCTGACAGTCTTCCAAACTATCTTTGTTGATCCATCCTCCATTTTCGACAGTCTTCCGGCAGAAGAAATTAGATACCTGTCAATGTAAACTTGAAAATCTGACCATCTTCCAGAAGACAGCCTCAATCTGCCTGTGTGAGTGTGTGTGTGTGTGTGTGTGTGTATGTGTGTGTGAGTGTGTGTGAGTGTAAAATATGTCAAGAAAACTTGGATGCCAAGGACAGTGTCTTGTCAGAGCTGCTTAATGCGTGAGCCGATATTTCAACAACATATTATTAGATATACATGTGTGTGCAAGCTTCCAACTTGTAAATTTACACAGTTATTTTGACTACTCCCAGCACTGTTAGCATGACTGTTCTCAAAATATGCAGATCTATTGTCTAATTTTAAATTAACAATAGAATAACACCAGTAATCAACAGGAGTGTTTCTTAAATTATATACAGTACTATAAACATAAATGCATAGAGTTGGCAACTATGTTCCTAATTACCAAGCTAAGGAAATGCCTACAATCATCAGCAGTGTTCTCTTATTGATCCAGCACTAAACTGAGCTCAATCAATCCAGCTTTTCTAGCATTACAGACACATAGGAGAGCCATTGATTTTATGACTTAGGAAATGCCGATATCATAGAACATCATCCTGGGAATGAAGTCTAATTAAATTTCCTGCAACACTGCACACATCCTGAGTTAGTCTTATCTTGATTCATGGTTGTTACTACTATCATGGAGCGATTAAAGTATTCACTTTTAAATGAAATGCTTAAAAACTTATCTCTCCCTTTTTATCGCTTGATGAGAAATACACCCACTGTTTGCCATTAATTGTTTGCAAGAAAATAAAAGCTGCACTCAATTCTATCTTTATACTCTCTAGATATGCAGGCTCAGTGTACAATTACTACTTAATGAAACAGAATGCCCCAAAAATAAAAGATGTGGTTTTTTAAAAAGGCCTATTAAGTCAAAATAAGCAAAGCTCCAGACCCTTCACATGCAACATGGAGTCTGAGAAAATCTACTTCTGCTGTAACCCTATTGATAGACAACAAACCAAGCTGAATTTCAGATAATCTAATCTGACAAGCTCAACTTATAAATTGCTCCCCAAAGACAACAATCAAGAGCTGTTCACTTAGCCATTCCTATTACTTTTCTTCAAGGTATCGATTGGGATTGCAACATTCAGTAGTCTTAGTATGGGTTTTATACTGATCCTTTATTCGCTTTGGTAACAGTGAGATAAAATGTTGACATTTGAAATAATCTTTTGCCTTGGCATAGAGGGACTTTTGCAAGATTTTGGCAAAAAAAAGAATATACATAAAAAACATTCTCAACATTTGCAAACAATGATAATTTCGCGAAAGGACTAAAACTGAAAACTAAACATACAACAACCCTTGAATAAAAATATCTAGCAAAATGAGGGTATGACATACAATGTCTGACATATAACACATAACATATAACCTGAAACTAAGAAAATGTTGACAATCCCTTTCAAAAAATAAAAAAATAAATAAATTTGGAAAAAAAATTAAAAAAAAAAAAGAATACCTGAAAGTCTTTTCCAATCTTGTTGGCCAGCCAGTCCTTCACTCCTTGCAAATCTGTGTTCACTTTGATCAGCCCAAGTTTGCCTCTTCTTTTGATAAGCTGGTCTGGCTTTACTATCAGTTTCTGAATAATATAAACCATACTTGCAATGCGAGTATGAAAATATTAATATAATTTAGAAAACTGACGTCAAATGACTCTGTCTCTGTACATAAGGTGAAATGACAGAAAAATTATTCATTCTGAAATCATTTCATTTCTGGTCTCTGATACAAGTTTTGTTTCAGAAGTCAGTAAGAGAATGATGAGTAGGCCCAACACTATTTAAATTGTAATGTGTAATGTTCAAACCGAGAAAAATCTTTTTGCATAGCAGTATACAAGTAAAAAGAAAATTTTAATTTGAACAAGATTGTTATGAATATGACGTATAAAACTGTCACCTGATATATAACATGACTAGTCACATGACAATCACATGACCCTCACCTCTGTAGACAGCCAGGGGTGATCTATCACCAGTTGGTCCCAGTTTGTGTCCACTGTCACTGTGGCGTAGCGATTCTTGACCGCATGGTGACCAAGAAACTTGTTCAAGATTTCCTTACCCTTGGCTTCGTAAATTGCCTTGGCAGACATTGTACAGAGATTCTAGACTTGAATGTAAATAAAAAAATAATAATTATAAAAAAATAATATGTGAGTGATCGAGCATGTGAATGAAAGGAAGAAAGATGAATGAATAAACAATGCCTATGCGATAAATTATCACATCAAACATAAGCTATCAGAAGTCTTATTCCTTACAAGTTTTAAGACAAAATTTCTAATAAATTACATCTCATATGTCAGTATGAAGTTACTGACAACAAACCACCATATTCTGAAGATTTATTAATTAATAAAATAACATGAAGACACATGATTTATAAATTAGTTTATTAGATTTCATAGATCTTGCAAATATACATACTACTGGTAGTACAAAAGTAATATTAATAATAAATTAATAAAATTTTATAATATTTAAAAAAAAAGAAAAAAACATGGTTCATGTTTCAAACCAATACTTATTTACTTATTAAGTAAACTGACTAGGATATTTGTCTAGAGGTGAATTTGACCAAATCTTTGGTGTACTAGAAAAAGTTTAAACCAATCTTGGGGCTAGAATTCATCTGAATTCCCCACCCCAACGGCCCAAGGTCTACATATTACTGCAAATCTAGTAACTTAAAGGAGGAATAGTACCTGAACAGATTTTCTGAAGTAATTACTGAAACAAGGTGTTTCAATGTAGCTTCAACACATGGAAGCCAGGGATAACATCACAGACAGAAAATTAAATTACAAAATGACACTGAATATCACTTCAGAATCAATGTTAGAAAATGGAAACTCTTGGAACCATGAACAATCTGATAGATCCACATGACACTTCTATTGATTTTCTTAAAGTTTTCTGCAGGAGGGTCACCTTCAAGTATACTCATAATACATAAATATACAAAGGAAATTTTCCATTTACTCCATTAATTTGGACCTCATTAGATTTTATAAAGAATTTTTGGAATTAGGTTCAGCCCCCCCCCCCCCAAA